TCAAACCTATGATTTCATAGGTTTGAACGTTGTTTTCAATTTAGACTTGTTTATATATATATATATATAAACAAGTCTAAATTGAAAACAACGTTCAAACCTATGATTGCGTTGGATAAAAACCGCAATTTTTATATATAAACAAGTCTAAATTGAAAACAACGTTCAAACCTATGATTGCGTTGGATAAAAACCGCAATTTTTATACGTGTGCATGCAAAACAAATTTCTTAGTGTCGGTTTGTTAACTTATTTCTAAGCGGGATTCGCAAGGGTTTTTTTAAGGTTTTGAAACACTAATTAATACGAAATATTTTAACTGCTGGGAAGAAGTCTTATTTCCGTTTATATTTATCATTAATAAAATATTCTTTCATTCAAAAAGTCATGAAAATAGAATAAAAGACAACGTAAACAAACCAACACGTGTTTTCCTATAAGAGTTATCTTTTCTTGTTTTTCGTGACGTCACGATGAGATTCCGAACGTTTTTAAATAGGAAAAATCCGTAGCTCAATGGTCCGCAAATAGTCAAAAAATATCATAAGGACCTAAGAGCTACGGATCCGCAGCTAATGTACGTTGTGCATTTACTTTTGCAGGAGTTCTACAATGCTTTATCACAGTATAAAATTTCCTTACATCATTGTTTTAGTTAACTTCAAACATTTCACTGACGAAGCGGTAGCGATAGTAATTTACGAGTTACTTACCTTTGTTGACACTTCAAACAAATTAGAACAATTATTTTTAGCACCATATGCTGTTTTTTACAAGTGAACATAAATAAAACAATTAATTACATTTTTACTAAATACAATTGATTATGTTTTTATACTACAGATATAAGTAAAACATTTTAATAGGTAAATATATTTTATCATTTTCAAATGATATATTTCCTGGTGCTGGACTGAAATAGGGATCAGTTCAGAGTTGCAGTTTCTCTGGATCATAAGATATTATCCCATGAGTTCCTTTAATATTTTGGTATATAATGTTTACTGCAATAACCAAATAATACTAACACATAAATAAATTTCTTCTGCCTAAAATCCAGAGCAAGCCAAAATAAGTAATAAATACTGGATCTATACAGGGTTAAAATGTCAAATCTAAAGTTGAGTTCCCTTGCAATATGTTTACATATTTTTAAAAGCAATAATAATCAAAGCTATCTCCATGTAAATAATTCATAATTTGAAATAAAAGGAAAAGTGTTTTAACTTTGCTTTTGTGTGTATGTTTATTAATTAAACTAAATAACTATAAATATTATCCCATTCCATACAGGTTCTATTAAATGGACCCAAATTGTAAAACAGGAAACATAATTTGATTGATAATAATTTAAATGGTAAATCATGAACTTTATATTGAGAAAGATTTGTTCTCAACAAACTAAATTTAAGTCAATAAGTATTTTTTTGAACAGAAATAAGTCAAACTTTAAGTGATTATGCATTCAATTAGAGTGATTAAAATGCAAGTCTGATACAGGATACAGATTGCTGTAACATTTCAAAGAAGGATAAGACTTTAATGTTTCAATTGTACATGTAATATTTGTTTTAACTTTCAACTTTTACAGGAGTCATTCATCACAAAAATATTTACACCACGAGTGTCTGAAAGTTTTTTCCATTCATCACGAGTTTAGCTTGTGCACAGACAGTGTAAAATTACCTTACCTTTTTGTTTCAGTTAACGTCAAACAATTAACTAAAAGAGAATAATTTATCAAAGTCAAATTCACAGCTGAATTCTCCATTGTTTTTTCAAACAAATGTGTATTTGAAACACACTATATGTTGTTTACATTCGGTTCACATGCATGTTGACATCGATGTGCAAGACAAATAAAATTGAGAATGGAAATCGGGAATATGTCAAAGAGACAACAACCCGACCAAAGAGCAGAAAACAGCCGAAGGCCACCAATGAGTCTTCAATGCAGCGAGAAAATCCCGCACCCGGAGGTGGTCCTCAGCTGGCCCCTAAATAAATTGTGTGCTAGTTCAGTGAAAATGGACGTCACACTAAACTCCAAAACATATAAATGAACTAAATTTAAAAAAATACTAGACTAACAAAGGCCAGAGGCTCCTGACTTAGGACAGGCGCAAAAATGCGGCGGGGTTAAACATGTTTTGTGAGATCTCAACCCCCCCCCCCCCCCCCCCCCCCCCCTATACCTCTAGCCAATGTATGATAAAGAAACACATAGCAATACGCACAGTAAAACTCAGTTTAAAAGAAGTCCGAGTCCGATGTCAGAATAGGTAACAAAAGAAACTAAGCAAAATGACAATGATACATAAATGAACAAAGGACTACTAGCAGTTACTGACATGCCAGCTCCAGACCTCAATTAAACTAATTGAAAGATTATGTCTTCATCATATGAAAATCAAGTACAATCCCTCCCGTTAGGGGTTTAGTATCATACCATCATAAAATATATGAGAACATAACCCGTATCATGCCAACAACTGGTTTTAGAATAAATGTGTTTATTTCCGATGCGAAGACCCTATGAGTGAATCATTATTAATACCAAAATATGCAATCCTTAATGACTTGACAACAGTATCGTAACTATATCCTTTCCGAATAAGTCTGTTTAAAGGTTTGGTTAGCTTTTGAGGTGAATGCCGACATTTTTGTGCTTTGTAAAGAATATTACCATAAAATATTGGATGTGAAATACCTGAACGTATAAGATGTCTGCATGTTGATTTATAATGACGAATGATGTAAACTACATTGTCATATAAACTACAATGTCAAAACATGTCTTTCTTTCGCTTTTTACTGTTCAAACGGGGTTTCATAAGGGAATGTCAGATATTTAGACTTTAAATAGTTGTTTTACTTTGAGATACGTATTATTTTTTTTTTATACTTCTGTAGAATTTTTATAATGTAAGTTTATCTATGAAAATAGTAGAAAAAACGAACAGGCAATTCGCATAATTCGCGTATTGTTTTAGGACGGCCAATTTGCATTATATTTTATGGCGAGTTTTAACATCAGTCCCATTGTTGTCTTTAGAAAGTAGCAACAACAGTCGTTTCTAAGGGCTTGCTTTCCGACTGTGTGGATTTGACAGTTACTGTAAATAGTAGCCAACGAAAACAATTGTTTGGGTTAAGAATTATAAGGATTGAACACATTTTTCTAGTGGCTATTTAAGAAATAATTCAGGCAATCCTTAGATTTATTGGAAATTTGTAGCTTTTATCTTACGTGGGTAAAATTGAGCAGCCATTCACACGGCAATCTTACCTTTGCTTCAGTTTTTCAAATTACGATACTTGTCCTATTACAATCCAAATAATTCATGCAAGCCATAGAATTCTTATCATTTTCACATGGCCTGGGTCGTTATATTCGTTAGTTTTATGCCTCGCTAACGCTCGAGATAAAATTAGAATGTAACGGCCCAGGTGATCATGGAAACATGTCAAACAAATCTATGGATTGCATGAATTATTTCATAATTATCGATGCGCAATGATCAGAAACACGGTATTGGCGGCGATAATTTTGCCACAGCTTCATTACAAAACTATCAATTATTTATTATATATTAAACACATTTAGTTAGGTAAAAAATTAAGATTTATGTATATATAGGTAAATACATAGTAAATTAAGGATTAACAGTACTGAATTTGAAGAGTTTTATTGGCGACGCGTAGCAAAGCCAGTAAAATGAACATTTGCGACCATCAAACCCCAATTGAAAACGGCAACTCGATCTTCAACTACAGTACTGTTATTCCGATTATAATGCATTATGAGCTTTCAAAACTAGTCATAAAAACAGGTCAGATCGTCTGATTTTAGTTCAAAAGGACAAGTTGACTTCAAAATGTACGATTTTGGTTGCCCCATTGTATGTTCTCTCCCTTTTTATGTTATGTTTTAAAATAACTCTAAGACAGTGTGAATGATTTTTAAATCACAGAATAGGGGCACGGAATATTCTATATTTCGACGCCTATACAGAACATATATATGAAGATAATATACGTGTACCCATGTCAAATCGCGTATCTTCTTTGTAAAAATCAAGATATCAGCAGTCAACCGCAGGGTTAAAAATAGTCAAAATCGTATTTATAAACACCGCACGGAGTTAGCTTTGGAATTATTGAATCTGCTCTTCAACATGTTGGGCCTGTTTACTGATGAGTATGAAAATCTTATGCAGCAAATCATTATTTTTTGATAATTGATAAGATCATTGCATGAGTTCAATGACATTGTGATGTACCACAGCGAGGTTACTGAGAAATTGGTCTAAACGCAAAAATTAACCAGTCTCACAGGCAAGAAATCGGTTATGGTAGCTTGTTGTTAGGACATGATCAATGTAAATGTTGAGAGTGAATTAAAAAAAATTAACCTGCAATTGAGACAGGGATTGTCCCTTTCATAAGAAACCAGATTTTTTGCAAAGGCATTTTTGACTGACTGTATCAACATAGCCATGATAGCACTCACCAACCGATGTTTTTCTTTTGATTATTTTTTCTAGGGTTCCAGCTGTCAATATTCATACTTCTTCAGAGGGTTCTTTCTTTGCCAGTAGGTTTAGTTGCATCTTTTGCCTGCTTAACACTCCTTATCAGAATTTCTATCCTCGACAAACGAAAACGACAAAAGACAAACAACAGTTATCAAAACACAACAAAGAAAATTTAAGACTAAGCAAAACGAACCGCACCAAAAAAACGGGGGCAATCTCAGGTAAGCAGAACCTTGTCTACATGTGACACCCGTCGTATTGTACATGTGATACACTCTTTTTTCGAAATTTTTTTTATTTGAAATTATGAAGAATTTGACGCTCAAACTGCACTTTAAACATGTTAAAATTTTAAGATACATTTCTTTACACTTCTTTCGTTAACATCTCCCTTTTTCATTTTTCATTTCCTTTTTTGTATATACTCTTTTCATCGTGTCTTTTGTACATTATTTTGAATAGGTATTATTCAAAGTACTACCAATAGTGATTCAATCATATTCTTTACGGAGAGGAAGAAAGGAAAACCTTCATTTGCAGCGCACACTTGGAGTTCCAGTTCCACTAAACATTATGAAATCGACTTTAAGCAGACTTCAGGTTTGTTTAATTATAAACACATTAATAAACATAGATGTACGAAAAAAAATCAAAGTAAGTGTTAGCAGAAAGAAAAATGTTGCTGGCAGCTATAATTGTGATAAGATTTGGTCAGAGTATTTGCAATGTCTGCAATACAACGGACTATTCAAAAGCTGTTTTTGATGTAATTCAGTATTGTAAGAAATGATTTATTTTTGAATTTTTGTTTATATGATAAATAATTAATACTTGAGTAGGGCGATTTTTCTGTATATAATCGACAATTGTGTTGACGTTTGACGCCTAAATTTTCTAATGCTTAAAAAATCTAATAAGAGATTGGAAAACTTTGTTAATACAGACATATTATAGGATTTTTGGTAATTCTAGCAAAAACTTGTTTGATTTCTATTTAATTGTAATTGCAAGAAAAAGTTTAAATCTAAAGATCTGTTATTTTTGTCTTACCCAAATTACTCCGGACACTTCTTTTAATATTGACCGGTTATTGTTATTGAATCTTACGCAACTCAATTAAAACGTAGTTGTTGTTGCTGCACTTAAGGGCATATGATACAGTTACAGTGGATGTAATTACGTTGCTAACGTAAAATGTTAATTTTTCGCGACGTCAAACTGTTATATATCGATAAAAGATGCATTTTCGACTGATTTTTATCATTCAGACGGATTTAACTTAAAAACGAGTTCATGGACCCCTCTTTTTAAATATGACTCTTCGCTTGATTAGGTATGAAGATGATGTAGGCCAATTTTTATGAACATTTGACCGATGATTTTTTTTTAGATTAGATAAATATGCAGAAAAAATGACGTTTTTTGACTCAAATCATGAAAATGAGATAAAATGAGTACACAAATTCAAAACACACTTATGTAGAGAAGATATTCTAGAAGTTTTTACAAAAATCCGCTTGCGTTTATCTTTTGAATCAAAAAAGTTAGTTTGTTTTCGATCTATGAGTTTGACTGTCCCTCTGGTGTCTTTCGTCCCTCTCCTTTAGGTATGACTTTTAAAAAGGCAGAAATGTCCAAGAAATCAGAATGTCCAGCATTGTCGGCATTCCTATGGGAACGAACTTATTCTTCTTATTTTCATATGAATCGGAGTTCCTTCAGACACTTGTCAAAAACAAGAAGATCAAAGAAGACAGATTATTTAATTTCACTTTCAGATATATTGATGATGTTTTTTCCATTAACAATCCGAACTTTTCTGATTGGGTTCCATTAATATGTCCCCCCGAAGTAGAAATTAAAGAAACAACAGACACGGCTTCCTCCGCCTCATTTTTTGACTTATACCTCAAATTTGACATACACAGTCATCTCAGTACCAGAATTTATGACAAACAAGACGATTTTAATTTTGAAATTATCAATTTCTCCCACTTTAGTAGCAATATACCAACTTCACCTGCATATGGGATATACATTTCCCAACTTATTCGATATTCAAGAGCTTGCAGCTCCTACTCAGACTTTGTAAAACGTCACCAGGGTCTGAGCAGAAAGTTGATGAACCAGGGGTATGTCAAAGAACGTCTCGTCCTTTTTCTAAAAAAAGTTCATCGGAAGGTACCAAGACCTTTTTGTTAAATATTCCGTATCAACTTCAAAAATAATACATAATGGTCTTGCTGTATAGATTCTGCGTACTGCCGTTGCTTATGATCTTAATAACGTGTTATATTGTTCTTTTATTTGTCTTTGTTCTATTATTAATATCACTTTTACTGTTTGGTCTGTGATATCCATTTGACGTGGCTCGGTACTTAAACATCCCGTCAATGTGTTTGTATTATCTTTCATTTTTGCTGGTCTGTGTTTTGTACATGTGACTTTATGTGTTTCTTTGGTACACGCAACTCTACACTAAGAGTAGATGTTAATGCAGTCACAGGACTTTAAATATTTCAATCCTTTATGGGTTGATTTATAATACATATATAAGTAAGCAATGAATGTGGTTGTTAAATTTGATAGATGCTTTTTGTGCTTCTTTGTTAAATGTTTGTTTGTTTTGAGATTGTGACACAGAGATGACTGCTGTACCCATATTTTGACAATGTTACCTATTATGTCTGTTTTGTTCACGCATCGTTGTAAATATAATGGAATTTGATGCGACTGTCATGCAAGTGAGAGGTTTAGCGCTATAAAACAAGGTTCAATCCACCATTTTCTACATTTGAAAATGCCTGTACCAAGTCAGGAATATAACAGTTGTCCATTCGTTTGATGTCTTTTATCATTTGATTAGGGACTTTCCGTTTTGAATTTTCCTCGGAGTTTAGTATTTTTGTGATTTTACTTTTTCCAGTAAATGTCTAAAATTTAGACCCTATTTATCTCTAAAAGTAGCACACGAAGATCAATTTTTTATTACATTTTTGAATTGACTAGGTGAAAAATAGCTTGTATGCAAACTTTCGTCAAAAATGCACCGTGTGATCAAAACTGTATCGTATGCCCTTAAAATGTTAAAGTCTTGCAAATTTCCCCGCATGTTTATATGTCAGAACGTAAATGTAACAATAATTGTTTATACAGATCAGGATGGTATGTCAGATGTAAAAAAGTAGTTATTTAAGAAATGAATGCTTCTTTTTGTAATTTTATTGGGGTGTAAAGTACGAAAGGCGATAAGGGTCATTCGAAAAAAAATTTATTCGTAATTACGTTAGTAAAAATTAAGCAACACGAACCCCACCAAAAACGGGGGGTGATCTCAGGTGTTTCGGAAGGGTAAGCAGATCCTGCTCCACATGTGGCACCCGTCGTGTTGCTCATGTTAATACAAACCCGGTAACAAGTCTTATTCGGTAGGTCACATTCGTGAAAAGGGGACGGGATTGTAGTTAAGACATAAGAAACATATCCGCTATCATCTGTGAAACGGATATTACATAACGGTCAACCAACTCGTGATGGCGTCCGTAAAATTTCCGAAGGGATGATTTCAACTTCACCATTTGGAACTCTTAGTTTAATAGCTTCCTTGTGTGCAGCAACCCTCTATCAAGGAAATCAGGATAGGAAATATAATCCCGGGAATATCGTATCAATTGGGAGATATATACTCCGTATGCAGGCGCTGCTGGAATGTTGCTACAGAGAAATGGAAAGTTAACAATTGGGAAGCTGAAATCATTTCTTTTGTCGTAAAGTTTTGTTTTCATCCGACTCTCATCGTCAAATTCTAGATGTAACTAAGTCAAGATATGAGGCAGACTTAACTGTATCTGTTGTATCCTTTATCTCAAATTCGATGGGATAAATGCGTTCCAGATAGTCACCAAATTTTGAATTATTAAGTGAGAGAACATCATCTATATAGCGGAAAGTTAAGCTAAAGGATACTACTAACTTCTTCTCTTTCTTCCTAAGAAGTTCCTGTATGAAGTCAGCCTCATAAGAATAAAGAAACAAGTCGACAAGAAGAAGTGCACATTTGGTTTCAATGGAAATGCCGATTGTTTGTTGAAAAACACGTCCTCCGAACGTAACAAATATGTTGTAAATCAAAAAATCAATGAACCGATGAACGAGAACAATAGAAAATTCACTCTTCTTATGATTAAGTCGAAAAAATCAATGCCCTGACGATACCAGTTAAAAGTTATATTTGAACAACAATCGTTTTATTTTAAAATAAATTATGTGTTATACTGTGATGTATACATGCAAAGACACGATGTTTTATGTTCATTATTTATAAAGATAATTTCAGTAGAGACTAGTGAAACTGAAATTTAAACAAATTTAATCTTTGCTGCATATTGATTAAAAAAAAAGGAAAGACAACAGACACTTAAACAATCTAAAGATTTTCGGAGTCATCCTTAAAGTCCTTTGTATGTTACAATTTCCCAAAATATACATATTTTTCTTCGAGTACACCGGTCTGCTCTTGTCATGACAACTTTCGTTATAGAAATATTGTTATTTCGTGAATATAACAATTCAAAAGTCATGTCTGTGCAGATTACGAAACTAAAAATATATATTTTATTTAATGTAGATTATCTGTTACAAGATTTTTACTATATTTGTATACAATTTTAAGAAAATGTCGTCTCAATTTCTGTATAAGTATTTGCGTTCTTCTCGATCTGTTCACATTCAATGTTTACACCAGGATAAGGTCCGTTTGAAGTTGCTGAGTAACTTAATTTTAAATGTGTTAATCTTTGCTGCATATCATTCGATTCCATTAGATTTTTGTCTGTACTTCTCTAATCTAGCTGCATACATATACGGATAAATGGCGTCTTTCAGAGAAATAAACATCCAGTAGAAAAATTAATTGAAGTTGGTACTCCAAGAATATATTCGCATCGCAACATTTTAAACCCATTTTACACAAAGCTCCTCAAGCCTGCTATACTCATCGTTTGTTAGTTTAGGAGAAAAATGATAACATGAACATTTTGTTTTTATTACAATTTAATTTTATTGTTAATAATTTACCAGAACGTTTTCTTGTGAATTTATAATTAAGAGCGTCCTTGCTAAAACGAGACAAACATTGAAATGATCAAGATTTCTGTTTTTACAGGGGAGGTAATATTTGTCACTATAAAATATGAAACAATTCAATTGAGAAAATCAACGGCCTAATTTATAACAAAACAATTTACGAAAAACAAATATGACAGACACGAAACAACGTCAACCACTGAACTACAGGCTCCTGACTTGAGATTGGCAAATAAGGAATAATGTGGGAATCAACATGATTGTAAGCGTTCAACCCTCCCCTAACCTAGGACAGTGGTGTTACAGCACATCATAAGAACAAACTATAAAAATTAGTTTAAAATGGCTTAACTAATAGTTCATTATCAGTAACATCCATTAAGGAAAATCTTGTCTGGATATAATTTTGATATACATTTATGTGTTTCACATACAAGGGTACAGTAATTTAATTGACCTTCTGACTGGACATTGAACGAGTTCTTTTATTTTATCAACTTCCTTATTTTTCACAAAATAATCGTAATATATAAATTATTCACAATATATAAAAGAAAGGATAAAGTATGATAAGAGCCATAATTCGGCCATGAAATTGCTACAATAGAAAAAATAATCAAACTTTCAAAATTAGAATTTTATTTACATAAAAATAAGATGTGGTGTGATTGCAAATAAGAAAACTCTCCATAGAGATCAAATGACGTAGAATTCAACAACTTTAATCCACCGTATAAATCAATTGGCTGCTATTATCTGGACCGTAAAGAAAAAAGGTCAATATGATGTCATGGAGATGTAGAAATTAGCATTTGTTACCAACATATAATTTTAACATATTTCTAAATTAAGGCAGCATTAGTTACCTCTGTTGAAATCTCCTAAATCGATTTGGATGACCAATCAAGGAAACAAACACAAGCTGAGGGCCTGATCTCAAAATTATAGCAAAACATTATTTGGATAAAAACTTAGTTCATATTATCTAAATATCAATGATTGACCTCGAAATGAAGCTTTCGGCAGTTTTTAAAGTCTTGTACTAAATGCGAAAAGTCTGAAGACCTAATGCCAAATATGTAAGACAAAATGCAAAAAATATCTACACTGATGTCTAATAGATAATGTCTTATGAACATCTGAATAATTTTATATAATAGATTTATAATTATTTTTAATGTTCGAATGCGAGGGGCCAAAATGTGGCCGTACGGTTGCTTAAAATGGTTTATACCAACATTCCCCATGTGAAATTATTAAATTGTTTTGAATAAACATTGAACGACAAAATTTCTTCTTATGTGACGTTTACATTTTCTGACGTCAGACACGCGAAGCAAAGAATGTTGTTTTTAATTTGATAGATGCTTTTGTGCCTTTTTGTAAATGATTGTTTGTTTTGATATTGTAACACAGTGATGACTGCTGTACCCATATTTTGACTATTTTATTTATTATGTCTGTTTTGTTCACGCATCGTTGTAAATATAACGGAATTTGATGAGACTGTCGTACAAGTGAGAGGTTTAGCGCTATAAAGCCAGGTTCAATCTACCATTTCCTACATAGGAAATGCCTGTACCAAGCCAGGAATATGACAGTTGTAATCCCTTCGTTTGATGTGTTTTAGCTCTTGACTTTGCCACTAGATTAGGATTTATATCTAGAAATTGACTATGAGGGTCGGTTGAAAACAAAACTTTACGACAAAAGAGATGATTTCAGCTTCTCAATAGTGAAGCATTGGGAAGCTGAAATCATCACTTCGTATATTTTACGGACGCCATCACGAGTTGGTTGACCGTTATGGAATATCTGTTATATAGATGATATTAGATATGTTCCTTATGTCGTAACTCCAATCCCATTCCCTTTTCACGAATGTGACCTACCGAATTAGACTTCTTATCTTTATTTGTGACATTTTTACCTATTGTGTCTGTTTGTTTTGTTCACACATCATTATCAATATTATTAAATTTGATGCGACTGTCGTACAAGTGAGAGGTTTAGCGCTATAAAACCAGGTTCAATCCACCATTTTCTACATTTGAAAATGCCTGTACCAAGTCAGGAATATGACAGTTGTTGTCCATTCGTTTGATGTGTTTTGTCATTTGATTTTGCCATGTGATTAGGGACTTTCCGATTGAATTTTTATCGGAGTTCAGTATTTTTGTGATTTTACTTTTAACATGCAACCCGTTAGAACGTTGGTGGATAATTGTCTCATTGGGAATCATACCACATCTCTTTATTTTTATATTTTCATTCATTCTCTTTTGTAAAATCTGCAGATCATGCACTATAGGTATGAACACATATCTTACAGAACGTGTGCTCATTTAGAATATATACATTAATGTATGCTTATATAAATTATTTATCGGATAACTAAATATGTCATTCGTAATACAGTAATAAACGTACCAATATACAGTAATTTGGGGATGTTCCTATTGTTGAAAGCTTACATTTCAGATTTTCTGTTAGACTTCCTTGTTAGGTGATTATCTGTCACCGAATTTATAATTGCGAATTTCATTCTGCTTCGTGTATTTCATCTGCAATGCTTGTCTTTGTTATTTCTACTTGAGTGATGTTTGAACATTGGTATTATACCGTCATATTAGTCCCAACTTTGTCTAATATTCCTTTTTTAGCCTCATCGAATGGTTTGGAGAAACGGAATATATTAAAGGGATATTTACACTCCTAAACGCCAAGCGTTGCAATTCATTATATTACACCAAAAAGAGAAGAAAAATTACAATTATTATTGAATATTACGCTACTCAATTAGATGAAGTTACTATTACTGCACTTTACCTGTTAACATGTTGAAATGTTGTCTGCATGTTTATATATCATAACGTGGTGTAACAATAACTGTTTATAAAAAAACAAAAGAGAGGCGAAAGATACCAATGAGATAATCAAACTCATAAATATGGTCATTGTTTGAAATTAACTGTTTATAAAACATTGTATGTAAAAAAAAAAACTACGGATTTTACACCCCTGGAATAGATTTCCTAAGCTGTATTTGACAAAACTTTTCAAAATTTGGGTCATCAATGCTCTTCAACTTTGTACATTGGAATCTTTTTAAATTTTTTGATTCGAGCGTCACTGATGAGTCTTTAGTACACGAAACACCTGTGTTGAAATAGTTATCATTGATATAGTATTACTTATAAATTAACTGTTTGTAAAACTTAATATTTTTAAAAATACTAAGTATGTTCTAACCCAGGAATGGATAAACTTAGCTGTATTTGAGGAAAACTGTCGGAATTTTGGGTCCTCAATGCTCTTCAACTTCGTACTTTATTTGGCCTTTTTGATTTCATTTATTCGGGCGTCACCGATGAGTCTTTTGTAGACGAAATGTGCGTCTGCCGTATAAAAAAATGTAATCCTGGTATCGATGATGATTTTTTCGTAAACATCAAGTGTTGCATTTCATTATATTATACCAAAAAGGGGCAGAACAATTACACAAAGGGAATTATTATGTTGTTTTTTTTAAATAAAAATGACTAAATTCAAGGATGATTTAAAACAGTTTTGCTGTTACATGTCGTAATGTTTTATATACCTTGCTAATTAACTAAAGTCGAAAATAAATAAATCCACAGTATCTAAAATGCTCTGCATTTAGATAAATATCGCATGCAAAACGGCTTATTGTAATTATTAATTATTTAGCATCACAATTGTTTGTTACCTTGCAAAAAGGCTGAGGGACATTTATCTGAATGCACGTAAATAAACCATCGCTTTGATGTTTTGCTAGATTTGATGACAATCAGTGAAGAATTCCAATCAACACAGTTCGTCTATACAGACATGGAGAGTGGACAAACACACACCGAGCTAGGTATAAGATCATTTATAGTCAAAAGCGACGATTGGAACCCTAACATCTTATCCATAGCATATTTATATATATATAATACGTAAAAATGAAAAAGTGAAAATTATTAATAAAATTGAGAATGGAAATGGGGAATGTGTCAAAGAGACAACAACCCGACCATAGAGCAGACAACAGCCGAAGGCCACCAATGGGTCTTCAGTGCAGCGAGAAACTCCCGCACCCGGAGGCGTCCTTCAGCTGGCCCCTAAACAAATATGTATACTTGTTCAGTGATAATGGACGTCATGCTAAACTCCAAATTATACACAAGAAACTAAAATTAAAAATGATACAAGACTAACAAAGGGCAGAGGCTCCTGACTTGGGACAGGCGCAAAAATGCGGCGGGGTTAAACATGTTTTTTGAGATCTCAACCCTCCCCCTATACCTCTAGCCAATGTAGAAAAAACAAACGTACAACAGTACGCACAGTAAAACTCAGTTTAAGAGAAGTCCGAGTCTGATGTCAGAATAGGAAACAAAAGAAAATAAACAAAATGACAATAATACATAAATAACGACAGACTACTAGCAGTTACTGACATGCCAGCTCCAGACCTCAATTAAACTAATTGAAAGATTATGTCTTCATCATATGAATATCAGGCACAATCCCTCCTGTTAGGGGTTTAGTATTATACCATCATAAAATATATGAGAAGAACAAAACCCGTGTCATGCCAACAACTGGTTTTAGAATAAATACATTTTGAATACATTTTGACAGTCAATAACTTTCCATGTTGAGTCATTTTAAACTAGGAATCAAAGGACATCGATCACACAATCCATATAAATATCTAATATTAGAATGATTTATTTTGATACTGACGTTATCAGCAAAAATATCAAGCAAGACCGCTAGGGCGATCCGATATTCGAGGTGATGGAGACCGTCTCACAAATATAAATGTCGATATTCTTTTATCGGCAATTTGTCTTAACAGTATCCTTGTTTTTGGTTGAAAATATCTAATAAAATGAACCATTTGGTAACACAATTTCACGCGTACAAACAGGTTTGATAGTTGTTCTGTTGACGTATAAATGATGTCGCGTGCATTTAATTGATAAACTGAAGCTGATGGAAATAAACACTTGACTTTGCTGCACTGATACGTGACGTCATTTACCTGATATTTTTAGCATTATGCCCAGTTCATGATCTTAAAAGAACAGTAGGTAGTAAGATCAGGGGAAAATGTAAAAAATATTATCCGTCCATTTCATGGTAGTCGCAGATCTTAAAAGATCAAAATGGTTTGATGCCCAAAATAAGATTTCTATATACAAATTATATATATTGGTGCAGAAAAATTTTTACAACTATGTGTCGGGTTACATTGTAAATAACTTTTCCCAAGCCGAAATATTTAATAGTGCTGTAGAGTAAATTAAGATGTCTTAAAAGGACAATGAAAATTTAACAAATCGAAATTTTCTACAATCGAGAACAGATACAGCTAATGTAGTAAAAGTGTCAAGGCAAAATAATGCTATATATATTTTAAGAAAGAAGTCGTATTATTATGGACATTTCAATTTATTCACAATTAATTCAAATAACCAGTGATAACTTATAATTTTGTTTTAAATTTTAGCCGTTATCTTCAATACATTTTCTGGACTGTTTATAGGATCAGCTGTGTTAGTTTTGTTAATGTTCGCTGTATGTTATATCTGGATCAGTCGTCGATTTAAAGAAATACACCTTAAGACTGAGGTAGTTGACGGAACAAACCCTTCCAATGAGGCCCACAAACACGCAATTGCTCTTCATGACATTGACACAGATGAGAGATCAGTCAGATTATCTGAATATGATTCAATAAACGAGAATGAAATGCTTCCTTTTCCATCTGGCGTTGCATTTGACGACAAAGATTCAAATTCAGACAGAGAAACGATCACAACCATTCATTCAAGCAAAAGTGGGAATACGTCGTCACTAGAAAACTTATATCTTGAGGTTATTGATGATGATTCCTATCTGAATCCATATCAATCAATAGAAACTGACCATGATTTAGAAAAAGTTCATAACTATTCCACAATATCAGCCATGGATTATTCAGAAATGTGTTTTCAAAACCCGATAGAGTTATCCCCTCTTGAAAAAATTTCCGGACATGCTATTGACGTCAGGATTGAACATAACTGCTTTTGTTCCCTCGCACATGTTGAAATGTCCAAATTTGAAACAGATGGAATCAACGATCTACAAGACAAAGGAATGCTGCAGACATCCAGTTTCCACTCTGAATGGTCTGAAAACAAACCGGGTTACTCTGACAAGTCAACAATGGACCAGGATATAGATTTTGAAAAGGCATCATGCTCTAGTAAACCTGACAATAATGTGTTTAATGATGCCGGCATCTTTCCATGTAATCCAATGAGTAACTTGCTTTAATCATATTAAGATATATAGTAATAGACTCTCATCAATAAAATTATTGCTAGACTAAAAATAGGAAGTAACTTTTGCCTTTAAAACTTTTAGTAACAACAAGAGAGAAAATAGCTTAATTAAGTTATATGCGAAAAACATCAATGTTCGAGGTAAACTCCAATAAAAATTTACCTAACCAATTGAGACACTAAAAGAGTCATCCAAAAATCACCATGTGGTCTTTCATGAATGACAATTTCGAGACAAATATCAAAACTTAAGCAGGCCTTCTATTCTTTATGATCATCATTATTTCAAGTCCAAGGGATTACTTCTTACAAGCAACTCTTCCAAAGATATAAAAAAAAATCAACAAAACCAATTGATATGCAACAATTGATTTGCTCGTAAAACTTAATTTCTGGAATATAGCATTCATAGGTGGATTTCAGGATGTTTTACCAGGTTTAAGATTTTGTGGAACACACTGGTAAACATATTTAGATTTTGTCTGCATGTTTTTCATCAATATGCAGCCAAGATTTATATTTTTATAAAAGTCTGAATGCAAAGTTTCTAATTCAGTTCAATAAATGTGGAAAACAAAACAATCTGAAATGATTTTCAATAAGTTTGGTTACCGACGTAAACAAAGTATTGGTTTTGTTAATTGTATTATAAGAAGAGTTACATTTCTAGTGTTCCTGCTTCATCAGTTAACATACTGATCAGTATACACTTAACTGAAATGAAAGGGTCTTTCTAACAGGCTCACTTGTGTTTTGTTACACTAACTACCAATGGAACGCTAAGTGTTTGTCGAAATACCACTTGACCCTCAGAAAATGTATTCAATATAATAAAATAAAGGAATCTAGAATTCTGTGGTATCAGCCATCATCTCTTACCCTTCCGGAGTAAAAGAGATCATCCCCTGATTTCGATGGGGTTCCTGTTGCAGTATTTTTCTATCTAGCTTTTTGTGTACTGTTTTTTTTTTTTGATCCGTGATCGATGTATGATTTTGAATCCTCTCTTTGGTGTCTGCTACCTTTCTGAATCGGTATGGTTCTTAAAAAAATAGGATTTACTTCACCAAGAGCAGGAACAAGCTTTAGAATTTTCATTCTCAATTAAGGACACTTATGAGCTTATATAGACGATCAAATTTAGAATGTGGTGTAGAGTACAGAAAACAACCCAATTGTTTTGATGTGTTTAAAATTGTAGTAAACATAACAATAAGTTTTTATTATTACTAAAAAATCTTATTCACCTTATTGATTTATATTATACATTCTTTATGATTTTTCTAAGAACCCTCATAGACAGCTGGTATAAAAGATGTCAAATTACAGACGTAACTAACGTCTAATGCACATACATATTTAAAAATCCTTTTAGATAACATGTCATATACCGTTTAAAAACTAATTCACAACAATGCATCACTGATAATCATAAATTCGATACATTGCAATCATCAACACTTTACGAAATCCGATATATCATCAGAAACACCAATACCTGCATTAACTATAACATGTATAATTAAACAACAAAGCATGTAATTTCCGGGCGTACATCAAGTGTTTCCAAAATTCATTCCATCCGGTACGTTCAAAACCAATATTTGTAAATCTAAAGATATACAAACATTTGAGAGTTGTGAAACCACAGACAGCCTGAATAGTAAATCCAATATAAATCGTCATTACTTGATAGGGTTGCAACATAAGTATAATAAAGGACAAATAGGTGGCGAAAAATACAAAGGGGGAAATCATAACTCATTAGTAGCAGAGATACCGACAATATCATGGTAAAAAAAATTAAAAACGAAACCACGGGCCTTCCAAGAGAGCCCGAAAAATCAACTCTTGCCGAATATATGTGGAATTTGATTGAACTTAAAACCAAAGGCACCAACAGAAACATACTTTGTACTTGATGAAGGTTCTCTTATACACCGTTTACCACGGAAAAAAGGGGCTACGGTTGATACCATATGTATAACGTACGTCAATTATGTTAACAATCACTATAAAGATGATAAAGATCTCCAAAAGTCAATTTCAACAATTGCACACCAATTAAAACATAAAAAGATGAATTCTTTTCAAATTCTGAAAACAAACAGCTCTATATCAATACCCTTGGAGAGAAAATTAAGGACGGACATTTTCAAGTTATCCATGCAGAAGACGAAGCTGATCTAGAGATTGTGCTTACATCAATCGAAAAGTCGGATCAAAATACAACTACCGTCTTAGGACACTAACCTACTCATACTGCTCTGTTATCATTCACAAAATACTATCAACAAGATTTACTTTAAATCAGAACCCAAGCAAACAACTCACAAAATAAAGATTTGGGACATACCCGAGACAAGGAGAAAACTTGGACCACTCGTTTGCAATATTTTGCCATTCATTCACGCTTTTAGCGGATGTGACACAACATCTCCAATTTTTGGTCAAGGCACGGGCATGATTTTCAAGAAAATTAGCACAAACATTAAATTACAAGATCATGCAGCAGTCTTTTGCCAGGAGTCTAGTGTCGAGAGCATTCATAAAGCAGAGGAACAAATCTTTGTTGCATTATATGGAGGGTTACAAGAAGTTGAAACATAAGTTATGCTGTGCTACAGAATATTCGCCTCCAAGGTTTGCGTTGGAAATATATATGTACAAGTACACACGCTACCACCAACAGCTGACGCTGCTAAGCTTCATTGCATGAGATTCTATCATCAATCTCAAGTACGGATTGGGAAAGGTGATAAATTAGATCCAAAGAAATGGGGTTGTCAAATTGCTTCCAATTAGAGCAATACTTCCACCGCCTCCTGAAAAGCTTCTTAATCAGACATAATTGCAAATAAAACTGTGACACAAAACGATGCTTTTGCCGTAAACACGGAATAGACTGTTCTTCAGCATGTGGGGAATATCGGGGAATAACTTGTTCAAATAGATGTAACATTACATAAGCCGATGCACTTGACGATATGTGAAGGCATCAATATACATGTACATTGTAGAAACATTAAACTATGCATTAAGAAGACCTATTTCAAAATTGTCTGTGTAACTTCAATTAAGACAAAATCAAATATTTTCAAAAATTTAATTTTCAGAAATTATATATAGCTTCATAATATTTTTAGATGATTACGAAAACAACAAGCTTAAGAAAACCAAGTAATCAATTATTGAACAGATTAGGCCAGGTACAATTCAATTAATGTTATACCAAAATCTTAAATATTAGTACATTTTGTATTGAAATTTATTTCGTTTTTGGGGGTAATGTTTGCTAATTTTGTTGAAAAATAAATAGATTTTCAATAACACAACTATATTTTTTTTCTGTTTTCACTCCGTAAATAATTGTAAATAATTGTGTTTTGCATGTTTATTTTAGAGCAGCCTTCAAAATAAAACGTTTGAAAACAGTCGGATATGAATCTCAAATATATAAATTTTTTGCAATTTTTTAGTTATTTTTTCATTAAAAGGGATAATTTTACCGATAAATCTAACTCTGGATGGTAAATTTACCATCGGAAATGAGCTTTGTAGTCGTATTAGTAACTTGAGTTCGTTTGTGACATTTTCTTGGCTGACATACCGCAATGATTAAGATTTTCAATTTTGTCACAATTTCCATCAAATTTTGATTAAAATCAAGGTTTTTATGCCAAAATCATGAAAATTGTGATTTCCGATTTTTCTAGACTTTTTAAATATGATTATGCCATGCTTTGGCATTTTGAAACTATTTCTGTTGCAATTTGTTTAGATTTATGCCATATTTGGCGTGGACAGACTGGACTAAATTAAGGAAAAAACCAATCTACAAAACACTACATACAAAAACAAAAACTGAGCAACATGAACCCCACAAAAAACCAATGTGGTGTCAGCTGCTCCGGAAGAGTAAATATATCCTGTTCCACATATGGAACTAATTGCTTCGCACAGAATGAGTACAAATTGTCTTTCAGTGATGTCATAGTTTTGATTAAATGATGTTGATCATCTTAAAATTAACGAAAATGTACTAAAACCAAATGGACTTCAAGGTAAAAGTTGCAAGGTACTTTTAAACAATATTTTACACAACAATTCATTTAATTTATTTAATAGAATATTGTTTGTCGTCGGTTAACACGTCCTGCACAGTCATGTCTCCTCAATTTTTCTTGGGTCCTTCCATAAGGTACCCATCATTTTGAATTTATAATGATAGAAATTAACTTCGAATAGGTAACCATACAAGTGCATGTCATCTTATACGAAATCAAATTCTAAACGTGCCCACATGGTCAGTGATTAGTTAGACATATTATCGTAAAACACTAATTGGCTCATTCGAACCAAACTGAATAGAAATTTCCCTGGGTTACCATATTTTTAAATTGTGTCCAATGACCTTGAAGCTTGTCAGAATGGCCACCAAAGCCGCAAATTGGTTGGCACAAATTTTCAAGTAAGTTTTGGTCAGCACTGATTATCTGGTCCGCTTCTCCCACCTCCTTGTTATCTCTTTTTTTCTTATCTGTGGAATAGGGAAATATTTCTATCAGAAAACGTTTTTTTCTTTATTTGTACACTATGGCATTGTAGTTGTTAAAACATCATTCAAAAGTACTTAGCTGGCTTCATATTAACGAGTAAAAGCTAGACGATATATCCGATTGAAATGTGAAGTTACGTTGGATGATTCAAATTTTGCTGCTTTTTGCCAGTGGAGTGATAGCAAGCATGTCAATAGTGAATCTCATTTAATTTGCACAAAAATATCTTATGTCTCAAGTGCGCCGTAAAATTCACATTTTAGACAACCCCTTTCATTTCATCTGTCCAAGTCGGTGTCAATAGTCGGTACCGAAACTTTCCGTGAATCTTTAATGGAACAGATCCGTAGTCATCTACGACACAGATATTCCATAACTGTTAACCGACTCAACTTGCGATCCAACTTTACCTCATGGAACCCTTGGCAACATTTGAAAATTTAATTCTTCCAAAACCGAGGTACTTGTGACAGGAAATAAATGAAGGCAACAGTACTTTACCAATGCTAAAATCTCGTAAATCAATAAAGAAAATACAAATCAAGGTAACAAACAAAACGGAGGAAATCACATGAACCTTATGAAGATCGATAACGGTTGTTCTTTTTATTTGTCTTTGTATAGTTTTAACCTTTACTCTTTAGCCCGTTTTTGGTTATATACTGTTTGCGTGGCTCGGTATTATTTTTATCACACATTGTTGTCAATATAATGGAATTTTATGTGACTGTCATACACGTGATACGTTTAGCTAGCTATTAAACTAGGTTTAAACCACCATTTTCTATATAAGGAAATGCCTGTACCAAGTCAGGAATATGAAAGTTGTTTTCCATTCTTTTGATGCGTTTTAGCTTTTGATTTTGCCATTTAATAAAAGACTTTCCGTTTTAAATTTTCCTGGGAGTTCATATTTTTTTTCCGACGGATATTTTGAACAGACATATATAACTGATATTGTTTTACAAATGCATGTTTGTATTCTCACCTGAAGGCTTTTACTGACACTTAGTGACTACCTGTTGAATGCGTGGTTAAATTCAAGGTAATTAAAAGATTAGCATTCTGTAATTCTATTCTTTTGATCTTCACTCAGTGAATTTTAGCCAACTTGGTTCACCGTTACAGGTGTGAACAACATTTCGTATGAATGATAAAAACATTAATTATTTGGGGAGGAATATGGTGGCAAAATACCTGAATCGCCGTTATATACATGTATATCTTTTATATTTTGCGTAAGCTTAATTTTAAAATAGATAGGTGAGTATTTTGTTGTAACATCGAAATTCTGAATTACTTTCAATTAAATAATTTTATAAATAAAAATGGCCCACGAAAACGAGCGTATAAACCAAACACTGTACTTACTTTTTCAAATTATCATGGGTATTAACCTTGAATATTTCAATGTTTAGAGAAAATTATCGCGGCTACATGATTAATATAGCTTAGTCCGTCCACAGCGAGCTACATTTACCTAGTGTGAATGTCATAAAACCTTGTTATATCAGAAACCATTATAAATGTGAACCTGTATACGTAAGACCTCATGGGACGTCACCTAACCACATACAGGTAATATACAAGAAGCTCTGTTATACCCGGAAATGTCAAGGTAAATCACTATACCGATACAGAATGAACCAATGCAAAGAAAATTCTGATGATTGTGAAGCATGACCATTCATGATTTTAGAGGAGTCTTAGGTGGAAATTGCCGGTACGATTTAAATTCTGACTAGAATTTTTTCTCTCAATTTAAATCACTGAACTTAAAAAAAAAAGAAACCTACGCCCACGATCAGAATTCTTCATGTAAATTCATAAATACAACGTTCTTATTTTGTAACTTTCGATATACTTCACCTCCAACCACCGCCCCCTCCCAACCTGGGAACAGTATATCTAACATTACAATGTTTGTGTACCTGCCCAAATCAAAAAAAAAAAAAAAGAAAAAAAAAAAAAGAAAGAGATGAACGGTAAGTCACTTCAGATTCAAATATTTATATGGTTGATTGCCGTGCAACTTTCAAAATTAAAATGTACGATTTATATTTAAAGGATTTCTGATATGATTATAGTTATAAAAGTAAATCATACATTAGAATATATTTTTATGACTTTTTTTTCCGACGGATATTTTGAACAGACATATATAACTGATATTGTTTTACAAATGCATGTTTGTATTCTCACCTGAAGGCTTTTACTGACACTTAGTGACTACCTGTTGAATGCGTGGTTAAATTCAAGGTAATTAAAAGATTAGCATTCTGTAATTCTATTCTTTTGATCTTCACTCAGTGAATTTTAGCCAACTTGGTTCACCGTTACAGGTGTGAACAACATTTCGTATGAATGATAAAAACATTAATTATTTGGGGAGGAATATGGTGGCAAAATACCTGAATCGCCGTTATATACATGTATATCTTTTATATTTTGCGTAAGCTTAATTTTAAAATAGATAGGTGAGTATTTTGTTGTAACATCGAAATTCTGAATTACTTTCAATTAAATAATTTTATAAATAAAAATGGCCCACGAAAACGAGCGTATAAACCAAACACTGTACTTACTTTTTCAAATTATCATGGGTATTAACCTTGAATATTTCAATGTTTAGAGAAAATTATCGCGGCTACATGATTAATATAGCTTAGTCCGTCCACAGCGAGCTACATTTACCTAATCGGGAATGCCCTTATTAAAATATTAAAAATCTCACAACGTATACATACTTTAGCTATTTGACCAACGATGTTTAAAAAAAATAACAGAATCAATCTAACGTCAACTTTCCTTTTTTGAATGGAGACAGACCGGCGGAATCAATTTTCAATGTACTTTATATCTTGTACCTTTGCAAGACTAATCATTCATTCATAAACCCACTATATACCAGAGACATATATGTCAGTCTTAACTGACAAGAATACACCTAAAGCGGACAAGTAGTATATTCTTTAAGTTAAATGAAATGTCAAGGTAAATCACTATACCGATACAGAATGAACCAATGCAAAGAAAATTCTGATGATTGTGAAGCATGACCATTCATGATTTTAGAGGAGTCTTAGGTGGAAATTGCCGGTACGATTTAAATTCTGACTAGAATTTTTTCTCTCAATTTAAATCACTGAACTTAAAAAAAAAAGAAACCTACGCCCACGATCAGAATTCTTCATGTAAATTCATAAATACAACGTTCTTATTTTGTAACTTTCGATATACTTCACCTCCAACCACCGCCCCCTCCCAACCTGGGAACAGTATATCTAACATTACAATGTTTGTGTACCTGCCCAAATCAAAAAAAAAAAAAAAAAAGAAAGAGATGAACGGTAAGTCACTTCAGATTCAAATATTTATATGGTTGATTGTCGTTAACCAGAGATGTATAGTTACATGTCTCTGTGTTAACTTATAAGAATGACAGGAAAGTATATACTTGAAATAGATTTATGATGAATAATATGCAACTGCAGCACCCCTTTTTATCAAAGTGTACATGCATGTATTTTAATGACTGTCCGTTATTTCGATTAAGAATGACAATTGTACGTGAAATTCTATAGTTGCCAGTGAGACTTTTTTTTTACCAGATATGCGTCTTTTCGTATTTATATTTTCTCTTATATAACTCTCATTTAATATTTTATGCATAAGTGCAATATTAGGAATGGTTTATCCCCCTCCGTTTTAAGATAACTAAATAAATTAATCAACCCTCTAGCTGACCAGACGTTAATACATCTACTATCAGTCTATTCGGAGTGAAGTTTTTTATTTCTTCAAATAAGATTTTTGGGGATCATTAGTGTACGTCCAGTGGCATATATATTACATGCATGTTTGAACAGGAAAATTGACATGAGGTACTACCGGTATAATAGAACCATGTTCACATTATTATACATAATACACAACCATTGAGATGATGACGACTTTCTTAAACTGTTCAAAATAATCTAATTGAAATAAAAATCTGTGATTTTACTATGTGCATAACTGCGATGAACCAAAGCAAGTTAGATATCGACCTGTATTTAAATCAGATTGGTTTTGGATGTTTCTCTCGTATATTCAATATACATGAATATATTCTAAATTGCGACTATCTATAGTTTCGTAACCTTCTATCTAGGCGTATAATCCAATGATCGACAAGTGCGTACATTTTGTTAAATCAATATTTGTACGTTTCAAAATGTCCATAATTATTGACAACGAGTAATTACTTACATTTTCCTCGATTTACGTTTGTAAAATATGTAAATATATTTTTATTTTATCAAATCTTTTTTTGGAATTATTTAGATTTTCATAAATATTCTTTACACCATAAATGTTATTTATAAACAAGCGTATGAGTTTAGTTATATATATAATGGCTATTATATCTATATGGTTTAGTAAAGACTAGCATATCACTATCGGACACGCAAGACAAAGATGTATATTCACCTGATAGTTTCAAAATGGAAAGTTGCAAGTTATCAGCCGTGTACACTTCTCAATACCCTCAGAGGTGAAGTGATGCACGAACTTGCTTTATGTAAATGTGTAATAAGAGTTTTAAAGCCCGACAGGAAATCGCTTGAATACCTGGACGTGTCAACTCACAATACCTCTGGGAACAATTCCTTTAGCCATGCTGGTGATCAGATAAGGGAAGGTCCGAATTTATTTAAATAAGATTATTACATAAATGAATTATGAACACACTAGATTTTCGAAAACATTTTTACACGGAACACTTAAATTATCACTTTGAACTTTTTAACTAATGTCCATTAGAATTTCTTGTTTCAAAAACTTAGTAAAAAAAACAGTTTTAAAACGACAGACCATAGTACTAGTTATTAAAAAAAAATTATATATAATTACATTTTCCGTGTCAAGTTAGTTAGGAAAGGTTGCATGCACAACCATGTCTATTATCATCTTTTTTTGTGACCCGGGAAACTGTTTAGGCTTTCCTTGTCGGGTAAAACAACAGTACGCTTGACAAGATATCGACACTCAATTACGACTACGTTAGGTTACTGCTTGATTTGGTCCTTTATGGTTTATAGATATATCGTGGTTTCATATTCAGGAATGATGTCAAAATGGACGCACGCGGAGAAGTGATACTCTAAATTTATAATTGATGGTGATCTCTTATCTAGCAGAATTAAACTTTAATATTTATGAATTTGTGGTTTTTTATACATAATCAACATAATATCAATTTTTCATTTTTTTGTGAAGTATCCCTTTAAACGGTTTTAATAGACAACAAAGCTATGTTTTTGGTTGGTCCCCGTTTTAATAAAATGACCAATTATTCTTGTTGTTCATATTTCTTTTCCTTTTTCTATTCTTTTACTTTCTTGAATACCAGTTTCAGTGCTTTTCCATTTTCTCCTTAGACCAGGGGTTATCGTCATACAGGTTCTGTCGATCAATTACATCTTTACCTATTCCTTAATTATAAAAATATAGTATTTTACACAAAATTATTAAATAAATGAACAAACGTCAATAACAAGGTTTAATGTATGCTAAAAATACAGATCATGAATACTATGTAAATAAGGCAGCAGCAGTTTTCTCTGTGCTGAGTGTTCTTGCGTTTGTTTGTACTGTATTCCTGTCACGTAGTGTTGTCATTTTAGTGTTATTTTTAACATTGCCATTTAAGCGGGAGGTTTGGCTAGCCATAAAACCAGGTTCAACCCACCATGTTTTCTTTAAATGTCCTTTACCAAGTCAGGAATATGGCAGTTGTTATCTACAGTCCTTTTCTATGTATGTTGTCGTTTGCTTTTGTCGTTGTTCAGTATTTCTGTTGTTCCGTTGTTTTCCTCTTATAGTTGATGTGTTTCCCTCGGTTTTAGTTTGTTACCCGGATTTGGTTTGCTTAATCGTATTATGACTATTGAACAGCGGTATACTAGTGTTGCCTTTATTTACCAATGTTCAAATATCATCAATTGATTAAAAAGATAAGCTTGGGTAACAAACAAAAAACCAAAGAAATTTCTTGAGCTCCAAAAATTAGATAAAGTTGCATTGACAGAGATAACGTCTCCTGTTATGCATGCATCATCAGTCATGCGAGTCCACACTCAGTCGAAATATCACTACCGGGAATAAGACACAATCGTTAATTTGAAAGACAGATTTAGCTATTTTGGGATCTAAAGATCTAAGACAGCGAAAGCAAATCGCTAGTGAGATGAGAAGCATATAAATCTTATCAGTCAACCTATTCGTAATGGTGACCATAAAACTTTTGTAGTGTAGATTTCAGTCGTTCTTCCACATTACTCTGTCAGAGAGGGTTAAGTGTGAGGACCACAAAATGATGTGGTTAGTGTCAACTTAAGGCAACCACACGGCGTTCAACAATGAACACATCCAATACCACTGTAAAAGGTCTCAAAACTACAAAATGTAAAATAGATCATACGAGAAAATCAATAGTCTTTGTATTAAAATAATTAAATTAAAATAACAAACGAAAAACAAATATAATTGACAGAAACCAACGACAACCACTGAGTAACAGGCTTCTGAATTGGAACAGACACATATCAAAATACTGTGTAATATGTTCGGGAGCGCTCAACCCCATGTGTGGCCTAGAAATTTTGTATAACAACACAACATAAGAACAAACTGTAAAATCAATTAGAAAGGAGTTAACGCATCAAATCTTAACGAAGCACAAAAACAACTAAGATAAATGGAGAATGTGTCCATTTGACAAAAATGATGCCCCCGCTTCCATATAACGTTATACAACATAACTATAGAACTGTAAAAGTGACGCCACCCAAATTCAAACTTGGTCTGTGTTTTATGGTAATAAGCATTGTGTATGAGTTTGGTTGAGGCAAACTAAAGTTAGAGAACGGAAACAATTTTGAGACGTACGGACGGACAAGGGTAAAAAGGTCAAATACAAAGAGTACCGATCAAAGTGTATTATCAGTACTTATAAACTATTTAAAATCAAATTACAACGAATAAACAAATTATTTTTCATGAATTCATTTATGAAACAAGGTAGTTCACCAGACACATAACAAAGAAAACGGTGGGAATACTTAAATTGCAAGATCCTGAGTCATTTGACACTTATTTCGGGATCTATAGTTTCACTGTTTCCGGTAATGTCTGTATCGTGTACTACCGTAATCAATAGACGAGGACATGAGAACATGTGAATTTATTCACAGTTTCATCATATACTTAATCAAACTTACATTTTTGTGTGAGGATTTCACTCTCAAATTTCGTTTAGAAGAACATTTTCTCCACACTGCATTCCATCTTGATCTGCAAATAAGACATGCAGCTTATAAGATAGTGGCATATAACAAATTGATGAATATTTTCTTAAAGAAACACCTTTCCCCCCAAACTATCAGTGAATAGGTCGCATTACTGTGTGCATTTGAACTTTGTTTGTTATTGATAATATAGGGATCTGATTTTTTTTTAAACATTGCTTTTTGCACGAAGATACATATTGCTGGTGTTAAGTCACCAAAACTTTACTTTGTAAAGAGCCAAGAACAAATACACACATAAAAAAGAATTTATAATATCAGGCCAATAATTTCATATTTCAGACGTGTGTTTTGTCTACAAAAGACTCAACATTGACAAATAAAAAATAAGAAAAGAAAGTACATCAATATGCTAAACTTTTGCATAGAAAATATTTGTTGACTTTGTTTGATTAACATTTATTAAAATATTCCAATGAGTGCTTGTTGATACAAAACTTTCTTTTATGACAAAAAGAAAAAAACATGAATTCCTTTGTTTCCCATTTATGCTATGTAGGTCACATATATAAAATACACTATATTTAAATAGAATTGACGATACAAATTATTCAGGCATATTCACTAGATTAAAATTGTTGGTAGCAAATTGCTGACTATAATGATTCCGTTTCTAAACTGGTGCAATAATTCCATTTGCAGCATAGTTAGCCATCATATAAAGCAGGTTAATACATAATAACATAAAAAAAAAAAGAGACGGCGAAACAAGGGAGCAATCAAAACGATAAATGAGTCATAATCGAGAAACTAAAGACGAGATTATGGCTATGACAATTGTCTAATTTTTAAGCCTAACTTATTTGATAAGTTGTCACAACCATTTTCCCGAAGCAACTGCATGTGGTGTTTTGTCCTCGAAGATATTACCAGTTCTGAAATCTTCTGCTAATATGGAATATCATTTTCTGAAAATCAACTGTTCGTTTTTCTTCATCATGCATATTTCTAGATGGCCTTAGACATATTTGGTACACAAAGTTTCTGCATATTTGGTTTTTAGTCCTCCCTTTTGTTTTTTGATTTGATCCTCCTACTATTTTAATTCGGCAGTAAGCAATTAGCCTGGTTTCATTTTGTCATAATGTAGATGAGAAGATACGATTAAGTGAGGGATAGCGGTAATGTTGTACAAGCAATATTTTATTATTATGTTGTCGATTTTTACCCCTCAAAATACAAATCTAAACCATGTCGGTTTAAATACACACAAAAATACATAAATATAGACACTTTTAATCGGTTGACAGTTATTATTACTGAGATCAACACGATGATTTGAGTTTTTGATCAACAGAATCACACAAAGTATTCTTTTCATTTGGCAATGATCTTATTAGATAAGACAGACTGGGTTAACATGACAGGAATTTTAATGCCATTTGTCAAAAGTAATATCTTAAACGTTTTGCGTTATTTTGGCGATAATAGCAGCTCTTTGGGTGCTACTGTTAATTCGGCTCACAACTTCTATCAACTCGGGACGATTTGGAAATGAAACTTACATAATGGTGGTTATTATTTTTATTTCCCTTTGGGTTATAAAATTTCACAGGTTTACAAGTATTTGTAACTTCTTGACTTTCAAACATTAGGACTTTATCGTCCTAATTACGTTAATCTAGTTAAGCGTTTTTGAACGCCTGCAATCTATAAAGAATTATTCTTATTTGGAGTGAAAAAGGAAAAACATGTTCTTGTTATTTGCATTCTGGATTACATAAATATAAATCGTGAAAATCAACAGAGATGACAGACATCTGCATGTGTATCCCGTATTTTAATGTGTTCGTCATCTTGAGAATCTCTGCGTTGATGGCAGATCCTTGCTTAGCCCTGTTACAGTTGCTCGAAACTTTTACACACACGGGACGATTTAGATGTTGGCATATTTTATAGACACTTGAATATTGCTGAAAACTGTATGTTGCCCACGAGGTCTCTTTTGGTTAATTTTCGTCGTTGGATCGCTCTCATTGACTTGACGTTAATCCTGCATCTTTTTTTTTCTGATTTCAATTAAACCTTAAGTTAGATTAAGATAGGCATTTTGATCTGTAGAAATTATAAGTAACAAACAGAATTATCATCACATAATTTGGTTATCACTGAAATTATTTCTAATTTTGAATATAAACATAAATGCAGAGTCAATTTAGTTACACGTATGTCTCGCTTATAATAGAATCCAACGGGTAAAAATGGATAGATATAGATGACTTTAAAGGTCAATGAACAGTTCATATAGTTCACAACAATATTCCGCAGTAACAAGTTATGGTTCCTTTCCATTCTTGTGGTTTTAAAACATTTTTTGTTTTTTATTTTTTCAATTTTCAACGGAATCACACAAAATGTTTTTTTTTTTTTTTTTTTTATTTGGTGGTAAATTTATTAGATAACAAATAATAAATATACATAAGAGACATTTATATGTCATATGTCAGAAGTCATATCTTAAATGTTTTTGTTCTTTTGAAGATAACGGGTGTTGATGGCAGCTCTTTTGTTGCTATTGTTTAATGTATTCACAACCAATGTCTAAACCTGAACGATTTAGAACTGATCATATTGTATGGTAACCTTGTTTATTGTTGAACATTTATTTTTCTGTTTTGATCGGTTTTCGACATCGAACTGTCTAATTTAATGTAAAACCTATATACTGTTGGTTATTCTATATATGTCCGTTTGGTTATGTGGCTTCTCAAGTATTCGGAAGTTTGTTCATCCTTGACTTTCAAATGTCTGCATTCTATCATTCTTACCATGGTACATTTAGACAAGCCTTTTGGACGCATGCAATCTATATACTGACATTTTCATTTAAGGTTATTTGCTATCACAGGAAAACAGGCAGTATATGTCATTGTGTGTTAATTTCATTTTGGATTACTTAAATTTAAATCGTCAAAATCAACTTAGATGACGAACATCTGCATGTCATATATGTATGTCATATTTTAGTTGTTTTGTCATCTATTCTTCTAATTATGGTAGAAGATCTTTGCTTGTTTCTGTTTAACTTATTCATAACTTTTTTGTACTCGGAACGATTTACAGAACTTAAAATACGATGTAGTTCTTGGCATACTATATAGAAACTTGTTTATTGCTGAAAACTGTATGTTGCCTTCTATGACTCGTTTTGGTTATTTTAATCATTCAATCGCTGTTTTTGAATTGACGTTAATCCTACATCCCATCTCCTTCATATTTCAGTGCTCAAAATTCAAAATTTAATCATTGCATACCTGATACGTTTTGTATTCCTGGATTTTGATTGACATTTGGATCTGTAGAAATTATAAGTAACGAACATAATTTTTTATGAAATATTATGGTTATCACTGAAAACATTTCTAGTTAGAAATATTAATAAATATGTAGATTCAACTCGGTTAAACAGGTGTCTCGCTGATCATAGAATATCACAGCTAGACATGAAAGGAAATTAATTACATTAAATGTCAATGAACATTACTTGTATTGCAAAACATTATTACCAAGAAACAGATTATGATTCCTTTCCATTCTTTTAGTTTAAAATCGTTTTTTTTTTTTTTTTAGTGTTTGGTTCACAGAATCACAAAAAATATATTTTTATCTGGCAACAAATTTGTTAGATAACAAAAATAAATTGACATTACATTATTTTGGAGATTGTATGTGAAGATGGCAGCTCTTTGTTTTTTACTGTTAAATTTGTTCACAACTTATGTCAACTCGTAACGATTTAGAGTTTAATATTTTGTAAAGTACCCTTGTTTTTGTTAATGTTTTTAATTCTTCTATTTTTTCGTCAGTTTTCAAAAACAAATCTACGATTTAAAGTGAAACTCCGGCAATGGGGGTTATTCTTTATATGTCCCCTTTTGTTACATAGATCGTGAGATACATTTTTGTGATGAACTGTAACATCGATGCAACAACCAATATGGACGTGGTACACTCGGCGTGTATGATTTGCATAAATTTATTACTATAATTAAACATTTGACATACATGGTTGTCACTTCCATTGGTGTAGTAAATGTATTTCTAGCAGCTTTTTTAAAAATTGATTTTCAGTGATTATGAACTTTGCCTTTGTAGGTATTCTGTAGTTATGCAAAGCTTTTTGTCATACATTTCAGTTCTAGTAAGTAAATTGCAATGTTCATTTACTTACCCACATTTGACAAACACACTATTGAAGTAATACAACCGAACACTAGTCCGATAGGAATAAATGCCCATTGTGCTAGAATAACAAAATTTATTTTAAAGAATAATACAAAAATACATTATTATACACGACTATCATGATTTTAAATTTCAGTGTGATATTTGTATTCAAATGGTCTAAAGTACTTATCGATTGATAAATGACTGCTTTTAAAGAATGATATCAATAGTTTTCATTTTTTACAGATCTAGAACTGGGTCGATACCGCTACTGGTGGACCCGACTTCCCGAGGGTATTAACACGTCAGTAGTCAATACTTCGGTACTGACATGATTTAACTTTTTAAAAATTGTCCGTTATTAAATTTATTCTTGACTCTGCAAACAGTACTATCAAACTGGTATTAAATTTTGTTCTATTTTGATGTCAAATGATTCGTTTATAAAATGTGTCATACACCATATGTCCTTACGTAAGTGACGTTGAAATACAACGTGTTCACATTTAATGTTTACTTATTTATTTTTGTATTTGAAGGCTTCAGCATTTAATTTTGAGCGAACTTGAATCTTGAAATTCATAAATTCTGACAGCGCCCAAGACAGTTTATCTTTTTCACAAATAAGACAAAAAACAAATGCTGAATAATTCTCATGTAATTTTTAAGATGACCAGTTTACAGTCAATATTTTGAGAAAAATAGACATGTGTGGTGAAAGGATTAAGGCTGTAAATTTTCTACTTGACAATTTCTTTTTTTCGTGTATTGTTTTGTATATTAACCAGGTCGTTAGTTTTCTAGTTTGAATTATTTAACATTTGTCATTTTGGGTCACTTTTAATGTTTACTATGTAGTATGGGTTTTGCTCAGTGTTGAAGGTCGTACGGTAACCTATAGTTGTTAACTTCTACGTCATTTGGTCTCTGTTGGAGATCATTGGCAATCATACTACAACTTATTTTCATATGAACCACATATTTTAATTGAAAATTAAAAAATTCCACCCACAGGTAGCAAAGTATCTTGTTCCATTTTATTGTGGCTCATATCGTTTCTTTTATACTAAGAAATCTGTAATGCAATGTGTAAGGACAGTATTCCATGAACTATGCATTGCATATCACGCCTGGATAATTTGTATGTACTGTTATATTTGTATAAAAATGCAGGCCATGTCATAATGTTTGCACCCCCGAGATCAAATATGATACAATATAGTTATAATAGAAAAAAATGTAATATATCTGCCTTATGCAAAACTCTGGTCCCTTGTCCGGAATGGACCATACTTTAGGTCTTTTCTAGTTCTATCAGTTCTTCAATTTGGTTTTGGATTTTCACGTAGTTTGGCCTCGAACATCACTGATCGATGAGACATTATTTGTCGAAATGCACATTTGGTGCAGTAACATTGGTACCATTGCTGTTATTACTTCTACTGGATTGATTGTGAGTCCCCGCAGGTATCCACAGCCGATCGAAAATAGCCAGTAATTTGGTACTGCTATGAAAATCCGGATATTTTTTTTCCACATGTTTGCTTTTATAAAACGTTGGTAATGATTGAAAAGTAAGGAATATTTCTCACACATTTTTTATTCCTTGTCCTTGTACTTTTGGTCCTTCCGGTTTTATAAACTCTTCAACGTTTGTCAAATGCATATTTGAACCAGTAAAATTGGTACTGGTCATGTATGGTTGTTATATTGTATGTTTTGGTTGAATAATGTGTTATGTCGTATCGTTTGTTGTCCAAATAATTATTAAATTGCCTTTCAATACCATCATTGTCATATTCCCGAATATGACTGTTATACTGAATGTGAATTTGCATGGCTGTGCGGCGTGTCTCAGTGTTTTGTACATCCAACATTAATGGAATTATTTTGATGTTTCTGTTATGGTTTCGGTTAGATAATCTGTTATGTCTTATCGTTTGTAGTCCAAATAATTATAAAATTGCTTTTCCATACCATCATTGTCATGAAAATTGTTTGGACGAATAATGTGAAAATGTTCGAGATTGCATGTTAGTTACGTAAGCGCGTCACTGTTTTTGATATCCTGTGGTGTTTTTCGTTGATGGAATATGTTCATTGTTGTTCTGTGGTTTGCATGTTGTGTCGAATATTACAACATTTGTTTGTGCGTTTCTCTGTTATGAATGTTCTTGCGTGTGTTTGTGCTGTATTTCTGTCAGTGTCCGTAGTGTTTTAGTGATATTTTTTAACATTGTCATAAAGCGGGAGGTTTGGCATGCCATGAAACCAGGTTCAACCCACCATTTTTTCTTAAAATGTCCTGTACCAAGTCAGAAATATGGCAGTTGTTATCAAATAGTTCGTTTTTATGTGTGTTGGCGTTTGTTTTTGTTACACTTCAGTGTTCCATTGTTCCTTTGTTTTCCTCTTATAATTGATGTGTTTCCCTCGGTTTTGGTTTGTAACCCGGATATGTTTTCTATCAATCGATTTATGACTTTTGAACGCCGGTATACTACTGTTGCCTTTATTCATACTTACAATAGCAGTTACTGTCGTCAAAAAACCCAAAAAGTATTGCAACTGCCACAAAAAAAATTGTTGATAAAGCAAATGTTGTTCTTTTACAAACTGAAAAAGTAATAAAAACAATTTAGGAGAGCGTATATGATTCAATATCCAAAATAAGTCAACAGTCTGATGGTGTACGGTGAAATGTAAATGTTCAAATTTTTGTCCTTTTGTCTTTTGTGGATAGTTATCTTTCTTGGCAATTATACAATACATTTTGTCATATTGTCGGAAGATATTCAACTGTATCTTTGCTTTGGAATTGATACAGATGGACGACGGTTTAACCATAAACGTCTGGATTTCCTTTCTTCCTAGCTTTAGTCAATTGCGCTTTTCAAGGTACAAAGATATTTTCGCATGGGTACTATCTATTTGAAGTACTGAAAACGTCCCTAAATAATGTAGTACTTTTCAGTACCATAATTGTACAGTACTTGATTTGTACTTGCAGGTGAAGGTAACCGTTTTAAACTTTTATTGTGTAGAACATTTTGGGAAAATTAGTACCGAACACTTTCAGAAAAATTTCCGATGAAATCATATATTAAAAAAAAAAAAACCGAAGAACTATATTTTTCTTGTACCTTCATAGTACTACAATACGGTGAAAATGGTATTTCATATTTTTATAAAACAATGAACCTCTGTAAAATTATGTAAAAAACGCAATAGCTTAGCATTACAATATCATTACTACATTAATAAGGTACACTTTCGGTACTGTAGAGTTATGGTATTATAAACATACCTGTGCAGAAGTAGCAGTGTATTATCAAGACATCTCGCCATAGGGATTTTGCTCTTATGCAAAAATTCCTGCAAATTGGCTATAAAGACGGGCGACACAACGCCATCATGAACTAGTCGCCCTATACGATGTGTCTGTGTTTCAACTAGAGAATGACATCTTCTAGTTGTGTTACAGCCCTTGGATGGTGTAAACTTCCCAAAAAAAGTGTATGGTGTAATGATGTATGGCATATGGTGTAATGGTAGAAGGTGTATGGTGCTATGGTGTATGGTGTAAGGGGAATGGTGTAATGGTGTAACGTGCGATCGGGAATGGTGTGAATGAATGGTGTACGACATTTAAAACTATGCAAAATATTGATAAGAACTGATTTTTAACTTTATACATTAATTTACAATATTGTGATCAAAATTCGTTTTTTAAAATAAATAAATAATTTTGTAGTCGCACGCTTTCTTTGAAATTAAATTGCATTATGGTGTAATGTGTAAGGTGTATGGTGCAAAGGTGTAACGTGTATGGTGTAATGGCACAGGGTGTATGGTGTAATGGTGAATGGTGTAATAGTGTATGGTGTTAGTGGGAAGTTTACACCATCCAAGGACTGTACATCTGAAGACACCATTTAAATTTGATTCGTTTGAAACGTGAAAAATGCATGAAAAACGTTTATCCTGTCAATGCAAGTTTTTGATCCGTTTGGAGTTCATACGAGTAGGTTTGACTGTGCGGAAAGTATAAGTACGAAGCCTCTTCCGATCAGACAAGGACGTTGACGTTAAAACAACAATCAATCAGTTAAATTAGATTTATGAGTTTTATCATGTGAACTCTTAGCAAAGTACATACCGTTTTAAGTCTATGAACGGTGTGGGTATGACAAAATGTGAAACAATTCAAAAGACAAAACCAACGGTCTATATACACTACAATTCTAAACGAAAACAATGACAAATAGCAACCAAAGACAATTACTGGCCTACAGGATTCTAACTTTAGACATGCACTTAAAGAGTGCAACAGGGTTTAACATTTTTGTGAGTGCTAAATCCAACCCCTAACCTGGGACAATGATGTAACAACACCACATAAGAATACACTGAGAAAAAAACCGTTGAAAGGGGCCCGGCTGACGATATCAACACTCACAAATAACAAGAAATAAATACTTAGTAATATATAAACTGGGAGTATCTTTCGCCTCTATTTTCTAAATAGTGAAAAAAAATGCCTGATAGATGTAGGGCAATCACCCACACTTCTAGTGATACATCTCGTCATTGATTGTTTTCTTTCTTAAATTTTGTTCTATGTATGTTCGTCTTTAAAATCACTCGTTGTAGAACAGAAATCATTCGGAGTTTCTAAAACATTTGTATACAACTATGCTTTTGACAATCTTTTCGGGCATGCACGACAATTGTTTTTACAGACTGTCAACTGTTTTTCTTGATTTCAATGGTCTTTAGAAAAAAGAAAACATATAGCTCCATGATTTAATGCACCCGAAGCAAGCATTTTGGAAAAAAATAGGAATGCATGGACTCTTTCCGAAAAATCATTTTTGCACAGGAGACCGCACTTACTTTCACATTCAAGAACGTTGGTACTGGTAGATTCAAAATAATGATACATGTCGTGCGCACATTTCCTATTCATATCATTATGAAAGAACCTGCTAGATGATGGCATTGAAAGTATGGGAGATAAATGTTAAAGTTTAATTTGTTTCTATAAATTACAAAATAAACTACTTGTATTCTTGCCTAATATCTTTGTTGCTTTATTGCTGTTCTTGCATGCACATTCAGACATCCTTTCGCACAATTCTGAAATTTTCAGAATATCATATTAGCAATAATTCATGTAGGCAATTATTATCTGAAATGTTGTTATGTAATACCCCCTCACACTAGGATCACGATCCCACTACGACCTCTGAAATTCTGAAAAATTTTGGTAGTCGTATTAATATCATGGTGGTCGTGGTAAGGTCGTATTAGGACGTGCCAAGGTCTTCATGATCGTGGAGATCCACGAACAACTTTTAACATGTTCAAAATATTCTTAATGCAGTCGTGACTATAACTAGTCGTAATAATAGTGTAGAAAAGTCATAGTAAGGACGTAGTAAGATCGGGATGGGCGTAGAAGCATCGTATTGGAAATCGTAGTGCAATCGGGAAGCCAATGGAAAAGATTTCGCTGCGACCTTACTACGATTTAACTGCGACTATCCTGATTTCACTACGTCTTTATTACGCTTCTACTACGATGATGATACGATTATACTACGGTTGGGAAGACTATAGTAAGGCGCTACTACGTGCTTGCCGTCCTTAGTACGACCTTACTACGAAACTAATACGTCCTAGACACGAAAATTGCACGACCTCATTCTGTTGATATAAAAAATGTAATAACTTCTACCTGTAGTTCAACCATGGACACATATGAGCAAACACTACTTCTGCAATCTTCAATTCAGTTGCACTGTATCAATTTGGCTGATCAGGCTACACTTTAAGTTATAAGAAGAAGGAGAAGACATACTAGACAGCGTAAGTATTTTTGTGCGCGTCCTTGGCTTTTAATTGAAAGAAAAACTCCAGTTTGGGCATTGCGATCGACTTATGAAAGAATTGAGGATGGAGGATCAACAGTCAATTTTTTATTTTTTGAAGGATTCCTCAAGAAACGTTTGATGAAATTTTGAACAGACTAAGTCCTCAAATTTAGAAGATATACACACGATTCAGAAAGGCACTCAATCCCAGTCTGAAAGTCGCTATTACCTTCAGGTACTTAGCTTCTGGCGATAGATATCCAACCCTTCAGTACGATTTCAGAGTCGCGCGCAATACCATAAGTACTTTTATTCCTAAGGTTTGCCAGGCAATTGTACAGGAATATAAAGATGAAGTCATATCCTGTCCAACAGAACCAAATGAATGGCGAGCTATTAGTGAAGAATTTCATAGAAGATGGAACGTGCCACACGCGTGTTCCGCACTCGGTGGAAAGCTTGTTGCTATTAAAAGCCCGCCTCAAAGAAGATCCTTGTTTCATAACTCTAACGTTTTTTTTTTCATTAGTGCTCCTTGCCTTTGTGAATACAAATTTTTATGGATAGATGTAGGAGGATAGGGTTCCATGTCGGACGCCCAGATTTACAACGCGTCAGAATCAACGGAGTGTTTGGAAGATAATACATTGTATACTTTTGGATTTCCAGAGTCAGATCCCTTACCTAACGACGACCTGAACATGCCATAGTTCATCTTGGATGACAGCGCATTTAGGTTGAGAACTGATTTAATGAAGTCATACTAGTATTCTAGAGCGCAGTGACAACGCAGTGGAATCATGGTTCGATCATAATAGACTCGTATTAATGCGATCGGGAAGGTCTTTTTACAAGCATACAAAGATCGTGTAAGTCGTGGTAAGGTCTTATTAGACGTAGCATGAGCGTGACAAGATCGTAACTAGAACTTGTTACTATCGTAGCGGAATCGTAGCAGGATCTAATCAGGATCATAGCAAGGTCGTGGTATGAACGTGAAAACTATGAAATATTGAATATTCAAGCCGATCATACCACGATCTCACCGCGATCTTATTTTTCTATAGATCGTAGTGTGATCTGCATGGTCTTGGTATAGTGTGACGGGGGCTTGACATATATGTCTATCTCACCAAATATACCGTTAGAGTACAGTTATTATGATATTTATTTGAAATATTAAAGATGCACTGTTCAGACCGTTGACAACACAACGTGTTAATAACTTTGTAGAATTGTATAAAATCTAATTGTTTATTAGATAACAGATGCAACATGTAAAGCAGGATCTGCCTACCCTTCCGGGGCACCTTAGATCGCCACGGTTATGTTGAAGGATGTGAGCTAAGTGTTTAGTTTTCTATTTAGTATTATGTTGACTTGCTTTTCCTTTTTTTTATAATTTATTTATTTCCTTCATGAATTTACAGGTATCAACAAATATTTATCTTGTGGCACAAACTTGCTTTTCCTTTCGCCAATTTTCTTTTCGTAGCCATATCGTTGTCTGTCGCCTTAGATATACCTTCCATTTTCCGCCTTTCTATTGAGCTTATATTCTGCTTTGTCTGTCGTAAGGATCAATGATAACACTTTTTCGAATTAACTCGATTGATCTGATACTAGTGTTACAAAAAGTCTACAAAAAGTACCTTTCTTAGAATAAATCGTTGAAAAGGAAAAAAGCTAAACATCACATTGTTGTATTGTGTTAGTAAATAAGGTGATAAATTGTAATAGAAAATTATATTAGTAAAACATTGACATAACTTATTTGTTATCCATTCGTTTGATGTGTTTGAGCTTTTGATTTTGTCGTTTGATCGGGGACTTTCCGTTTTAAATTTTCCTCGTATTTCGGTATTTTTGTTAATTTATTTTTTCCATGCATAATGTTCTGACAAATCTATTCGTTTACTTCGTACTGAAAAGAAGTACTGTGGATTCATTTATTTTCGTGGGTATCAATTTTCGTGGATAGAGAAAAAAAGACGTTTCGTGGTATACGTAAATTCGTGGATCGCTGATTACAAAAAAAAATCAATCAGATACGTAATTCGTGGATTTCTTTTTGATTTAGATCATATAACCTCCTTGGTTTGATCAATAATAAAACAAACAAAAAAGAAGGAATTCATTGAAAAAGTTTTGAATTGTCAAAATCCTCGTTTGGTCATTCTAGGTTAAAGTGTTCATTGAAAACTTCTATTACAATAATGGACAGAGACAACTAATTATTTGTTTGTTTTACAATTTATAAATTCTTGTCGGAATTTTATAAGGCATTCAAAACACTATGGTTGAAAGCTCATTTCCCTAATCACGATATATTAGACAGTCATATAAGTAAAAGGTGTGAAAATGCATGCACCTGTCATAAACAATATTACCTACGGGCAATAACCCCGTACTTAATCCTATTGATTCTAAATCACCAGTAAACCAAACTATGAAACGGTAATTAACAACTTGCAGTTATTTTCCATGAACAGTTTAATCAATTTTAAAAATTAAATTATCACTGATATTCGATATATTTATTATTGATGTAATCAGAATACTTTTATCTTCTTTCATTTAAAACACGTGTTATGTTACAATGTTTATCGTTAGTCAACACTATACTAGAACTGCATAACATAACCGGAAATAAACATCCGACTCCATACACATTTCTCGGGATTATTCTTCGTTGAATTCTTAAATTCGTGGTTCGCTGTGACCCACGAAACCCTCGAAAATTGGTATACCACGAATAAAAATGAATCCACAGTAATATAAACAAACATTTCATATTTCAAAGTTTCTTAAAATGAGTGTTAACATCTTACCTTCTATTTTCGTAAAACTTGTCTTGACAAATGATAGCAAAAATAAAACCAAAATGGTGGATCCAAGATAACTGAGTGTTGCTTTCAGTAATACATTCGTGATGCAGTTAGTATCTAAAAAAAAAACCGCATTTTAACCTTAATCTTTGAAAAGTGTAAATTTGAGATATTGTATTGTACGAACTGAACTAGATAGAGTTTAAAAGAATAAACAGAAACAAAGAGAAGGAATGGTAACATAACAAGAGACGTAATCATACACATCAATATACAAGTTTTCAATACTTTAATAAATTAGAAAGAATAGTATGATGCAGACTGGTCAGCATAGCACATGATTTCAATCATGCTGCAAGCTGAGATCAAAACAAATGTTGTATTACCAAAATAGGGAATTTCATACAAATGGTTTCAAAAATTTGAACAACGCCTTCCCCCATTAATATATTTCTTTCAAATTAAAATCTTTATACAAAAGAGTTTTAAAATACCAAATGGATATTCAAGCTTAAAATTGTAACCCTATGACAAAAAAAAGACCGAAAGACAAACAACAGTCGACAAAACACAACACAGAAAACTAAACACACGAATCCGTACAAAACCGGGGTTGATCTACACATATGGCACCCGTTTTGTTGATCATGCAAGTACAAATTATGTGAAAAGACTAATTCATTGATGTCACATTCGAGGAAACAATATACAACTTATTCTGTGACAATATATCTTTTCTTTTAAATTTGAAGTCAACTTTCAGATCGTTCTATATACGCCAGTATGTGTATGATAATGAAATAGCTGTTTCACAGATGCATATCTATATTCTTTTCCTTATGGGGGCACTAACCGCATCTTCTTTGTGTCGTATTTGACATCTCTGCATGTGACTTATCAGCGCATTATTATTTGTAGAGAATAAACAACATAATAGGTATCGTTAGTGAACCATCAGTTAGTTACTTTCCCAAAACCCCCCGAGTTCAATACTTGTTTTCTATAAGTTTCTGTTGCAGATTCTTCTTTGTGGTGATTGTGCTATTTTATTGTTCAATGTCCATTTTGGGTCCATCAGAAATAAGCTTGTTTAATATTGTCTTCAGCAAAATGTGATTACGTTAATTAGACAGTCGGTATGAATCATTTCACGTTTTACGTTTGCCTGTCCTCGCGCCCCACAACTATTCCCTATGCACAATTGAAATATTGAATACACGTTCCAAAAAAGATTGCTTCTACAAAAATTTACGAATTCCGTATTAAGGTCATTAAGAATATGATTTCAACAACAGTTACAAAGAAAATTTAAAAAAAATTAAAATATTGGACTATTTGATGAAAAATAGTTTGTTTAGTTTGGAAAATTGATATATCAACAGGCAGCCAAATTTTCAAAGAGTCTAATTGTGAAATTCTACTGGCCGATTTCTTTAAGTACTCGTATGAAGCTGAATTCATATATAAAGTTCTGAATAATAGAGCACCTTGCAATTTTTTTGTTTCAATTTCAGATATATAAATGATGTCCTGTTACTCAATTATCATCATTTCAGTGAGTGCTTGTTTCTCATATATCTTAGTGAAGTTGAGGTTAAGGATACCACAAAAACAAGAAGGTCTGCTTCAGATCTTTATATATTCCATATATTGGACCAAGATGGATGACTTCAAACTAGAATATATTATAAACCAGATGATTTCAACTTTCCAGTTACCAACTTTCATATCTCAGCAGCAGCATACATGTACAATATTTAAAGGCGTTTACACATCTCAATTCATCCGTCATGATCATTCATCTTTGCGCAATACTAAAGTCATTTAAAGAATTGACACTATTAATCCTCCATAAAATTTTGAGAAAGATCGTTAAGAATCGACGAGGTCTATGTTTCATGGTCACCATCGGTTTACCTATCAATTGTTTGTGTTTCGAGCTCAAGTCACAATCAGTCTCAGATCTGTATATACTAGAACAGTCGTCTGATCTGTATCGTTACCAATTATAAAGAGTGAGGATTCGCATGACAGTTCGAATGGTGGTTTGCATGGCGGATTGCATGTTAGTTCTCATTGCAGTTTATGCATTCATATCAGGAGTAGCTTATCGTGTCGCCAAGCCCGTTCTCGCTTCTTTGGATGTCATACGAATGTTTTCTTTTTACCATGATTAATATCTTCTTACTCGATTTATGAGACAATTGTCGATTTTTTTTGTGTGGTTTGCAAGAGAAAGTTGGAAGGTTGTAATCACCGGATAAGAGTAATAGGACATATTTTTTTCAACTTCTGTATTGTTTCTCACATAAACTGTCATGTCTATTGCTTGTCGAAAAAGATGTATCCATTGCACCATTGTTATACTTTGTAACAAAAAAACTTTCTTAACTGCGTCTCCATCTTGGGTTCAATCAATATACGTATTGTTTAACCACTTACTTTTTTGTGTTAAATTTGTTGTTGGTTGTACTTTGTCTTTTCGTCTTTATCGTGTGATCTTTGTATACCTTTGTGTATCTTTACTCGGCTGATTTTTTGGTTTGTCTCCTCTATTTATAAACTCTAGTCAAGTATCAGTGTTTGTCAAGTAGTGACTGTTGATTTGGACTATTTTCTTAATATTAATAAAATTCAGAATGGAAACGGGGAATGTGTCAAAGACACAACAATCCGACCAAAAGTTGCATGTTTTTTTGACGGATTGGCTCTTTACATTAATTAAATATCAACATTTTGATAAAGCAAAGTTATGTCTCCGAGTTATTTCCAAAGTAAAGGTCTAAGAATTTGAATGTGAATATAAAGAGGATTGTACGATATCATTTTTTGTGATTTATAAGAAATGTGCCTTGTTTTTAATCTATTAACAATGAACAAAACCTACACAGATATGGTACCACAGGGTCTAATATGATAAATTCGATAATTTAAGGCAGATTAACTGTATACCACCATCTTGGATTGTAAATTAGCAGTTCACAATAGGTCTAGTTCTTTGCTTAAATCTGCTAATTTTGAGACAGATTGACAATAAATGGGATAGACTGTTTATTAGAATACAGCAAAATAAATGATTTATTGCAATATTTAGACTGATTTATCAAATACCAAATAATTGTATTTGTTCGAATTAAATTGTCAACTAGACTTTTAAGGGGATATAACTCAAATAGTATATTTAGATTTTCATAAAGGAGTGATAGAGAAATTTACAATTCTACTTGTAGCATGAAAACTCGTTCGGTGACACCATTTTTTTTCTTTTCATTTTCTTAAATCATATTTAAAAACCTTTCTTCTCATATTTTATTTCAAAATTCAATCTTATAGATTTCCTTTTATTCACAGAAAGTGTTTTTCAATGAACAATCTATGCAAATTTGGGCAATTGTGCAAGACTTGTAACATGAACAAAAGTACGGTGACCCATACCTTTTATTATATATTTGAAAAAAGCATGGAAAAATCTACATTTTTGCAAAGTATAAGAACATTATGTCTGAGGAAATATATACCAATGATCCACCTTAAAAAAGGAGAACAAACGGTCTGATCTATCTTAAAACTATTTTCAAACTTGATAGACAGCAATCAACGACAGCCAATGTATGACAGACTCATGACAGGGGACAGAAAAATAGATAATGATGCAGTGTTAAGCTATTTTTAAAGAGGCTTAATCACCCCATAACCGATAACAGGGGTGTAACTGGGATACCGAATTATTTTGAAGATACGAAGATTTCCTTTTTAACCTCATTACAAACGAGATATCATATCTTCATCTGTTCGATATTGCATTCAAAGCCGAACAATTCCAAAACGAATCAGGTTATCTTATTGAACCTTGGTTCAGTTATGTACATTAATTGTTCTACATCCTATCGATACGCTTTTGTTTGCTTTACATAAGTTAAAGCTTTTCGCAGACTGTTTATGACGTCTTTACACTATTAATCTAATCAAATGATGTATTCTTGAAAAATTCAAATTGTGGATTTTAACAGTGATTGACATAAAAATTACAAATTTACAAAAACCAATATTCTTATTATTTTTCTTAAAAGGGTTGTTTTATAACATCTCAAAGCAAATATATGTATTTAGACCCGAAAGCTAGTAAAAACTGTTATATAAATATAAATAACACTTTATTTATATCGTGTTTCAACAGGAAAGCATTTTATACTTCCACTTGATATCGTAAATTCATTTCCTGTTTAAAAAGTAATAGTTATGTTTTCAATTAAGTTATTTGGAACCTTGCTTGTTTTTCTGTAGTTTGAAAGACCACGTTGATATCCCGATAACCTAGTGATGAAAAAACCGACAATACTAAGGCCCAAAAAGTTACCCACGACAGAAAAGAACAACCTTTTACAAAACACTCATAGAAAACCGAATATCGAGCTCCCAGTAAAAACAGGGGGAATTATATTGTGTTCGCGTAGGGTAATCGCATTCTAGTTCACATTTTGTTCACTTCATGTTTTCATGGCAAGTTCAAATATAGGAGATCTTCTTATTCAGTGAAGTCACAAACTAGAAAAGGAGGACACTGTCAAACTTTTAACCAACATTCAGAAAAGATTGTGAAATCAAGAGTCAGAAATGAAAGGCAAATCTACATCCACCAAAAAATGTAAATTCTGCGTTCTTTGGATAATCACTTTGTATTACCTTGACGAATAGGTCCTTTTTGGTTTGTGTTGTTTGGTAACTTGGAGATGTTGTAATTATCTGAAAAGGAAATACTATTCTTATGCTTATATTTTTTAAATTGTTGCACAATACAAATTCATTTCTTTTGTCTAAACGGCGGGACACTTTACAGTGGCACAAAAAAAGGACATTTTCACTGTAAATTTAATAGATATATAGATAAACGATATCCTAACTTTTCTGTTAATCGTTTTCCTTATTTCTTGTACCATGTGTACAGAAGAAGATTATCCATTATAGACTTTTGACGAGGTAATTACTTTAGATATGGACCTGTTCATATTATTTGACCGAGGTCCATATGTAACGTAGTTACTGAGTGAAAGTCTTTCATTTATATATTACATATGTAAATAGTGTATTATGGAAATGGGCTTCAATGTTTTTTCTGTGTATTTTACATTTTATTTTGCAACATTTAAAATATTGACTGTCAATATATATGTTTATATATATAAACGCCTAAAAAGTGTACAAAACAACACCAATATTAAAAAAAAAGAAACATTAAAAATGTAAGTATTTATAAATATTTCGAATAACAGATATCCTTCATCAGTATGATTATGATGTAAAATGAATCATATCAATCTATACTGATCTAACTATAACAATCTTCAAATTTATACAATTAAAACCGAACAACGCTTGTACAATTCTAAAATTTCAAAAATGACGTATGTTAGATATTTAATTCAGAGACTGCATAGATTTGCAAACTTCAACCACAAATTTCGATTAAATAAATACTCTTGAACTTCATCCAAGCTTTGAATTATTTACAAGACAGCAAACTTCATGTACAATGAGCGGCAAAAGTTTCTTATCAGCATCCGATTTCACCTAAATAGATGCACGCTCGATGAAGCTAGTTTGTCTAGAGGAATATTGCGTTTATTTTTTATCGCATTGTAAATATTTTTAACATTTCAATATTTACATACTAAATAGTGTGTTTAAATCTCTATCATCGTTAGGTTGATTTTCTAGGCACTTTATAAATATTCTAACGCCTGATATTTCTTAATCATAAGAAATCACATGGACGTGGTATAATTTGCAGTAGTCACTACACATAGGCAGACATATACATATATTAATTAACAGTGATTGTATGCTTTAAACCCGCTGCATTTGTTTGCACCTGTCCTAAGTTAGGAACCTGTTGTTCAGTGGTTGTCGTTTGTTGATGTGGTTTATAAGTGTTTCTGGTTTCTCGTTTTTTTAAATAGATTAGACGGTTGGTTTTCCTGTTTGAATTGTTTTACACTAGTCATTTTTGGGCCATTTATAGCTTGCTGTTTGGTGTGACCCAAAACTCCATATTGAAGGCCTTACTTTGACCTATAATGGTTTACTTTTTATAAATTGTGACTTGGATAGAGAGTTGTCTCATTGGCACTCATACAACATCTTCTTATATCTATATATTAATTTACAGTGATTGTATGCTTCCAAAAATAGAATAGCATCCTGTTATTATACTGAAGAGATGAGTAGGTGATAATTCCTGTACACTTAAAATACTTCGTGTTTTGTGTTAGATGTCCTTGTTTAACTCCTACGAGAAGTTAACACCTCCCAAAACGAAAGCTGATTTTTATCAGCTATAGTTAGAGGAGGGGATATGGGAAGGATTGGTGCCCGCAAATATGAGTATCCCGCCACATGACCATGTACATGTATCAAGTAAGTAGCCTTTGATTCAATGCTTATCGTTTGTTACAGTATATCATATTTGTTTTTCGTTAATTGTTTTGTTTACAAATAAGACCATTGGTTTTCTTGTTTTTATTTTCTCCGCCACATTTTGATGTTGTTATTTTTTTAAATGTCGCAAGATATCGAAAACTTTTTTGGTACATGATATCGAATAATGAATACGCGCACGCAGTTGACCCTGTAAAACCGTACACTTGCTCCTATGAAAGTACACTGTTTTTCTTGTTATGTCTATTCCTTTGCAACTGTAAAACACACCAACAAGTTTATTTTTCCAAATTGCACGTTATATCATTCAGATGTTTTGTTAAATATTGTCCGAAGCGATACGGAGACACCATATGAGAGGTATTTACCCTTCTGTATTTGAAATAGAGATATATTAATGTTACTCATGAACTGTAAATTATAGAGACCTAGGGTATTTTGACTTGATGTCATTGGTCAACCAAAAAAAATTGGGAAATAAGGTCAAAGGTCAAAGGTCAACTGATCTTAGTATTAAGTTTAGATCGTTTTCGCTTTTCCTCATAAACCGTAATAAATCATTAATTATTTTTTCTACCATATTAATCTTTGCGACAAGTCGTAACTTTCAAATTTTGGTCAAAAGGGTACTGTTCCTTTTAATGGGAGTTTTCTCCCTTGGAGATTTAAAATATATTGTATAACTCGTGTTCCATACAAAGTAGAGACCTAGGGTACATTGATTTGAGACCTTCCCTTCATGGCCTTTAAATTGAGGTCAAGGTCAAAAGATAATTGAACATTCTAGACTTTGACCTTTGCTAAAACTTTATACTTGTGCATGATACAGCCAAAGGATTTTTTGCATTAGGTTTTGGAGACCTCATACCTCAAAAATGTCAACCACAAGTGACCAATTTTTTGAACTTCTTCCATGGTACCCTGAAACCATATATTTTTGTAATCGGCATGCATAAACCAATCATTTAAGACTTGGTGTGACCTTCTGTAAACCGGAAGTACCTAATTATCTCTCTTACTTCCGGAAATAGTATATCGAACCCATATATTTTTGGAATCAGTGTGAAAAAGCTATCTCATGAGACCGGAAGTGACATGTCCTTAACTGGAAGTAGCAAATGATCTCCCTTTTGTCAGGCAAAAGTACATAGAAACAATATATTTTTGGAATCAGTATGAAGAAACCTGTAGTAACTTTGCGTAAACTGGAAGTGACTTCTTATCAATGATTTTGAAATCCAATGGTGGAAAGACCTTCAAATATTATCTAAATAATTGTTTTTTAATTTTTATAGCCTTTATACTTTGCTTAATGGTATGGGTTTCGCTCATTTGTTGAAAGCCGCAAATTGACCCATAGTTGCTAAAATCAACGTCATTTGGTCTCTTGCGGATAATTGTATCATATGCAATCATACCACATCTCCTAATGTTTCTACCTATATTTGTTTATCAGTTTTTAAAGCCATTTACAAAGAGTCATTATTGTGTGCACATTTTCAATTGTATAACGACAAGATCATTCCGACACTAAGCCCGGTATCGTTGATAATCGTTGATAAGTTTTTTAACCACTGGGTCGGTGTCACTGCTGTTTGACGTCTTGTCTCCGATGGTGTCACTAGGCAAGTATTCAGAACTTGAGAATCATTGTCATAATTCTCATAATTTCGTTGTTTATAAAATATTCCTTTATTAGAAACTCTCAGGATTTTCTATCCACAGCCAATGAACGTAGCCGCATCTGGCACTTTTCATAATGTTTTGTTTGCAATGCTATTTAAAGGAATCGCATTTTAACTCTCCAATTATTATGATTCGAGCTACACTGATGAGTCTTATGTAGAAAGTCGCGCGCGTGACGTACATTTATACAAAGAGCCCTACATTTAAGTGTTTCCAATAATAATTTATGAATGGTCGTTCTGAAGAAAAAAAAATTCCATTTTTTTAAGATCGAGCATGATCATAGGTTTTGAATTTAATGAAAATTTCGTAAGATGTCTGTTTGATATTTGTATAAAATAAAGGCAATAGTAGTATATCGCTGTTCAAAAGTCATAAATCTATTAAGCTAAAACAAAACCGGGTCATAAACCAAACCGAGGAATCCACATCAACTATAAAAGGAAAAAAACGGAACAACATAAACACTGAACTGCAACAAAACCGACCCTAACTTGATTATTTCATCCTGGATCACATTTGACGCTTGTTTATTTAGAGTTTTTCTGTTTTTTTCTACATTTTCATGCTGTCTATGTCTCGTCTAAGATTTTTTTTGTCTCAATATAAATTACAAAATAATTGCTTTGGTGGTTGTTCAATAAAATTGATAAACAACAAAATCAAATAAAGGTTTTAAATAAGATTAGGCAAACGAACACCATTTGAAACGGTTTGTTGTCCCTCCAAAGTACTATGAAAAGTCAGAACCACATTAGACGTTTCGTCTGGTCACGTATTAATAGTACATTTACCTTGTAGTCTTAAAACCGTCACCTCTACCTGAGCGACATCCCGTTGGCGACCATGACGACAGGTCCAGTTCCCATTCATATGATAGTCAATATTTCCATGTACTGTAAATGTAGTTTCATTAGTTTTTGGATTTTGCGATATAGTTCCGTTTTTGTAATATGGCTCACATTTACTAGATGGTGCTGGCGGTATGCAATAAGCTTGTACACTGCCAAACTGGTTATCAATCCATACTTTAAAATGCAAATGGTTTACTTTACACGTCAGCTTAAGTTCATTCAAAGTTACTCTCCAGTTGAAACAAACGTAAGTGTTGCATGAATTTGTTCCTAAAACAAACAGTTAAAACCATAAGTTGCAATTACGGTTATTGGAATACTAGAATTAATAATTTTAGAAAAGTAACATTTTTTTTTTCAATTTCATATGAAGTGAAAGGCTATTTGCTAACGAGAGAGAACCATAAAGGTACAACAACATCTACAGGTAAATATCAACATAAACTGGTTAAAACATCATTTACACTTATATACATATAACTTGTAGAAAATAACTGCACATGTTATACACTATACCACAATATATTCATTCTATAAACTGCTGATTTTATTTTACTAAAAATGTAATCCTTATTCATGTGTTCAATATAAAAATTCATTTGTAGAAAAATTATCAGATTATTGTAAATAAATTGATTTTTAAAAAGTAAAAGTAAAATTATACCACCCTCGTTTATTTTTGTTCTGTAAGGTGTGTGTTGCTAAATATTTAATTATCTAAATACTGTTATGTTGTTTTTCTCTTTTCTGCTTTCTGCTCTTTGGTCGGGTTGTTGTCTCTTTGACACATTCCCTATTTCCATTCTCAATTTTATTAAATTGTTTTTGCAGGGCCGATCTTGCTTATAAGAAGAATATTGACTTTCATAGGCTATATTCTTATTTATGCTGAACACAGTTTAAACTAATTAATTGAACATACATTATCTATGCATATTCCAGCGCACACTGGTACACACACACACACAAACACACATAACTATGGTGTTACCAGGAGGTAACGAAACTACGTGTATTAGCAAGACAAAAGCATGTAAAATTTCACGAGAAGGTTGGGTGTGCAAGATACAAGAACACAACGTTAAATCCTTTTACATGCAATTTATTAACAAACTGCGTTGTTTGTCATCTCGAATTTTGTTGTGTTTGTCTTCCTAGATGAAGATGAGGGTTCATAACAAAAAATATATATTAGCCTCAAGCATACCCTAACATGATTATGGACGAACCACTTGTTATGTGCATTGAAATCGGTCTAAAACATTTTCAACTTCTTGCATTACTGGGTTGGATAATGCATAATATGTTTCTTATTGTACCATATGGACGGCTCTTTGTGGGTGCCATACATATATGGGAAACAGAATATGCTCATCTATCCTAAGCACCTGAGATCGACCCCAAGTTTTCGGTGGTTGTTGTGTTGTGCGTACTATTGACAGTCTTTTCACCGTTGTTTTTTTTAAACAGTGTACATTTGTTTTCGACTTATGGGTTTAAATACCCCTTTGGTAAATTTCGGCTCCCTTTCTTTGGAAACTTTGAAAATGTTACCAAATCTATGGCTTGCATGAATTATTTCGGTTCTAATTGGACAATTACGGTAATTTGACAAAGTGAAGTGAAGGTAAGATTGCCGTGTGTATGGCTGTTCTATTTTACCCCCTTGTAAGGCAAAAGCTACAGATTTCAAATAAATCTAAGGCTTGCTAAATTATTTCTTAAATAACCACTAGAAAAAAATGTGTTCAATCCTTATAATTCTTAACCCAAACATTTTTTTTCGTTGGCTACTATTTACTTTCAAATCCTCAGTTGACATAACTGTAACTTACTTGCTGAAATACATGCATGTGCGAATGATGCAATAGAATAGAAAATGAAACAAGATCTACCTCAAAACTACATTTTAATACGATATTATCCGAATTAAGAGCGTACACGTAACGGAATAATCTTCAGCTATAGAGGTTTCATTTGCATGACGTTAATGCGCCAAGATCATTTATGAATGTTCGAGGAATTTATTTTTATTTTTATTTTATACATTTTTTAGGATCTTATGCATTAATTCTTTTTGTTATGCATTAGAATAGGAATAACAGTTCTGTAGTTTCTTTTCTATTTCAATTTGAACACAATGAAATTCCCACAGTGGTGCACATATGTTACGGTACATGTGGATTTACGTGGAAGGTAAATAGTAACAGCCATTAATCTGTACCTCTCTGAATCTGCGCTTAGTATAGATATATCGAAAATTTTATCACGCTGTTGTTTATAAAGCGAAAGACACACGTCATGTTGGAATACGTATTTTACTATATAAATACCTTCTTTTCATTCACCAATAATTTGTTGAAGTAGTAAAGGATCTCAAGATATGGTCTTTGAATAACAGTATATTTTAAATTCAAATATAGATATTGGACAAGGATTTCAGAAGTATCAAATGTTGAAACAATATGTCATTTTATTTTATTTGTTTATAAATCGTTCTTCGAAAACAATAGTTATAATTCAACTCACCATATGCTGAATGCACATTTGATAAAACGATCATTCCAATTACTGTTTTTAACATGTTTGGCACTACTTAAATAAAGAAATAAAAAAAATATATGAAACGATACAATGCAATATAAAAAGTGCTTTATTTGGTATTTATATAAATTGACGTTAAATAGAATGTAATTACAAGAACATTAAAGTTACATCGTCCAAATTGTCACAATCAATACGATAAAAGCCACTTACAAAGCATTAAAAAAAAAAATATAGGCATTGAAATATATTTTTTTACAATAAAGGAAGCCCATAAAAATGAAAAAATAGATAATTAGGGTAATGCTTTTCCGAATTTGCCTCCTATTACATCTTAATTTGTTTATCGAATTTTCTGAACAGATTAATATATTATTCCGTAATAATTCCTGACACAATGACTAGACAGCAGTGCAAATATACAATAGACAATAAACAATAAAATTAACGGTTCCAAATGGTGAAGTTGAAGTCATCCCTTCGTAAATTTTATGGACGCCATCACGAGTTGGTTGACCGTTATGGAATAACCGTTTCACAGATGATATCGGATATGTTCCTTATGTCGTAACTACAATACCCTTCCCTTTTCACGAATGTGACTTACCGAATTAGACTATTTACCGGATTTGTAATAACATAAGTAACTCGACGGGTGCCACATGTGGAGCAGGATCTGCTTACCCTTCCTGAGCACCTGAGATCACCCCCAGTTTTTGGTGGGGTTCGTGTTGCTTAGTCTTTAGTTTTCTATGTTGTGTCATCTGTACTATTATTTGTCTGTTTGTCTTTTTATTTTTGGCCATGACGTTGTCAGTTTGTTTTCGATCTATGAGTTTGACTGTCCCTCTGGTATCTTTCGTCCCTCTTTTAAGCACAAGATGTGCATTTCGATAAATGATGTCTCTTAAATGATGATCGAGGCCGCAATATATATGACAATACATAACCTAATAAAAATGTTGGAAAAGCTGATCAGAATAAAAAGGAAAAATATGATTTAATTAAGTTGCCCTTATGGTTGTGGCCTATTATCCATTTATCGCATGAATATATATTTCCCGCTTCACGCAAAGAAGATATGTATATCAATAATGTACAAACCACTCACATTTTTCATCTATATATCAATTTTTGTCAAATTTTATCACATTTGGCTTCGTACAAAAAGTTTGAATGTCTAATGATAATGTCTGACGACGGAAAAGGTCATATGAAGTCGTACAGGTATGTGCAAAAGACTAGGCCAATGAGTCACTGACTTGTCTATTTAAAACAAATATAATTATAGCCATAAGAGAAATAGGTTTTAACAACTTGTGAAATTTGGATATCGCTCGATATGACTTTTCGCTATTTGCTTTAAACAGTAATAATAAACTTGCGAAAGGCTCCTTTATTATTATTTTTAAATTAAATATCTGGAGTTGACATCAAGCGGTATTCAATTCTCATTCGTTATACATTAAACATATAATTGTTTAAAGACCAATAAATTTACATGGATCGTATTTTATTTTTCTGGCTCTATAAGCAAATTCACCGATAAAATTACAATCGAATGGCAAGTTTGTAGAAAGATTTCTACCAGTACTCTTAAAATTACAAATATGAAATCTTTGTAAATATAAAAACATTTGGTAAGTAAAGGAATTATATGGTTACGAATCCCTTACATTATAATTTATTTGTTAATTATAGTTTATAGAAATAAGAAGATGTGGTATGAGTGCCAGTGAGACAACTCTCCATCCAAGTCATAATGTGTAAAAAGTAAACAATTATAGGTCAAAGTACTGCCTTCAACACGGAGCCTTGGTTCACACCGAACAGCAAGCTATAAAGGGCCCCAAAAGTACTAGTGTAAAACAATTCAAACAGGAAAACCAACGATCTAATTTATATAAAAAACGAGAAACAAGAAACACTTATGAACCACATCAACAAACGACAACCACTGAACAACAAGTTCCTGACTTAGTACAGGTGCAAATAAATGCAGCGGGTTTAATCGTTTTAACAGGCGCCAACATTCACCCTTACCTAAAAACAGTAGTGTAACATAACAACATAGAAAGACACTATAAAATATCAATTGAAGTTGCTTAACTCAATCAAAAAGACATATTGTATAATTTTATAAATTTTGACTTGGATGGAGAGTTGTCTCATTGGCACTCATACCACATCTTCTTATATCTATATATTAAAAAAACAATTAAACATACACTGAACGAATAAATTTTATCTATGACACAATATATGCAATATTAATAAAACAGCAGGGATGTAAAACAATGTCAAAAAGACAGCTATAACCTGAAAAAAAAATGGCGTTAAATAAAACAATGTACACAGGTAAATTTAAATATAATAGTTTTGTAGTTAGGAGTACGAAAATATTTTATACAAAATAAATAAATTTGTTGTTCATAGTACGAGAACAGAAAAGACAATTTATCGTCATACTAAATACTTATACATATTAAAAATAGTGAGACGAGATATAACACAAAATAAGTAAACATTGAATGACAAAAATGCATTACAAATTGTGTCATTAGGTCAAATTAACACGAAAGTACGATTTGAGAGTACTCGCAGTTACGGAAAGCTAGTCAAAAGCCAAAAACAAGTAATAATAAAAAAAAAATCATGCATCAGGGACTAAAATCAATTAAAACACAGCACAGGGATTTAGTGTTTTAACGCCATGGACAGTCAAAGGAGACATGACTTGTGCAATGCCAAAATAAAAGCATCGACAGGCAGTAGGATAGTTAGGACTTAACCTTATAATAAATATGTATCATGTTATGTATAATGATGAAACAATCTCTCTATAGAAAATAAACGTGGATGTGTATTTTTACATCCCAAAAAAAAACCATTCGAAAAGAATACAAATTTAGTAATGTTTTAATTTGTTGATGACAAAATCGATATTTGTGCCAATGTAAACAATATTCAAGATCTTATTACAACATTTATAAGATAACATTTACAAATAAGTTCGATGAGTCTACACGGATCACATAGTGATTTCCGCGCTTTTAGTACAATATTACCGTAAAATTTAGGCTGTAAAATACCGTAATAATAATTTTTCTACAGGTTTAGCGAAATTTACTAATCAAATCTTTGTATCTATGAAAGAATTTAGTAAAAGTTTAAAATAATTTATGGTTACGAAATCCCTGACTTAATAATTTACCAGTGATGCATTGATTACGTTCGTTAAAATCTATAACATCACTACACACACGGGCTTAACGAACGAGTTGGGATATATAAACATCGTATGATGGAGCCAAAGGAACATCGCCGTCTAAAAACAGAAAATTAACAACAGGGAATGAAAAATCGTCTCTTTTGTCGGAAATTTTAGTATGGAGTTTCCCTTTAGAAATTGAAATGTCTAAATCTAAAAAGGACAACTACTGCTGTTAATGTTAGATTTATTTAAGGTAAGTTTCTTTGGGTAAATTTCGGTAGTATATTTAGAGAACTCTGGATTATTTAACGAAAAAATATCATCAAGATAACGGTAGGTATTGTTGAATGTGTAAACCAAATGTAACAATGACGTGTCTTTACTGAGTTTGGTCATAAACTGAGATTCATAGCAATACAGGAATAAATCTGCTATTAAAGGGCCGCAATTAGTGCCCATAGGAATACATACTTCCTGTCGATATACTTTATCACCGAAACGTACATATATGTTGTCCAGGAGAAAATTTAAAGCTTCAATCATATCTTCACATTTCCAGTAAGTGTATCTAGCATACTTTCCTTTTTCATTACAGAAAAAGGCTTTAAACGAGTTACAGCAAATACATTTGCAATGAGATTTTTCAAAAGACCATTTAATCAAATATGAAAACTTGTTCTTGATAAGATTGTATGGAAGTGTAGTTTAGAGAGTAGAAAAATCATAGCTGTCAACAGAATTAAATTGAACATCAAAAGCACGTATTTTATCTAAACCCTCTTAAGAATTTTTAACACTCCAAAAATAATTAATACCATTATTTTCATAAACTTTATCACAAAAGTTAATAACAACTTCTTTGATAGTAGTAAGGGAGGTTGTTAGGAGCACTGACAGATTATTAGTAGAACACTTACTAGATGCGGAGATGAAACGAAATTCAAATGGTTGTTTGTGTAATTTAGGTAACCAGTACATAGTCGGGACTTTCAAATGTTCGGAAGAGGCTTTAATCTGGGTAGTGGCATTGATATGCTTGTTTACAATTTGACTCTCTGTGGAGCGTACGGACCTGAATGTAGAAGAATTGATAATTTCATTTTGGAGAACTTCCGTGTAGTATATGCGTCGCACCACCACTATATTACTGGCTGCTTTGTCTGCCGGTATGAACACAAACCGCTTTGCGAATTGTTTTCAAAATGAGATATACGAATATCAACAGTATTCATAATTTTGTTCAAATAACTGTCTAGAGATTTTTTATCCGATTTTTCACGTTTACACCAATTTTTACAGTAGGCAGACAGAGCGTCTTTAATTACAATAGATAGAGGACGATATTTAGGTCCTTCGTAAGAAAAGTTTTGACCCAACGGTCTTCAACGATGTTGAGGTTTCCTGTAATGACATGACCATAGGGAACATATCTAAAACTAGATGTTTCACAGTCTCAAGTGGAAGGAGCATTATTTTCTATATTGACGTCTAATGTTAATGACGTATAATTAAAAATCAAACTTCTGCTGGTTTTTTTTTGTACGAATACGAAATAATAGGTGGTTCTGTATTATCAAAATATGGAGGTACTTGGATGGTAGAGTAATGGAATATACTAGATAAGTTAATAAAATCAATACCCTCTATTTATATATTTTGATTTGAGAAAATGCCGTTTATGATTTTCAGGTTTATCGATACTAGGAAACAGCCTGTGATGACAAACATATATTCATACAACGGGCTGAAAAATGAAATTTTATCACACTTCAGAAAAATATCATATAGTTTGCTTATTGGTATATGACCAAGTTTGCATAATAATTGATGTCTACTA